AAAAACTAAGTAAATAGAAATACAAGGATAAACAAAATAGAAACAACACTGTAAAAACCCTTAGTCTCCTAATCGAACCTTAGAACCCACCTGCACCAGAAATACACACAGTTAAAAAGTCAAAAATTCCGATGGCGGGATACTCAAGTACCGAGTCACGTCAAAAGTCATACGACCAAAATAAACAAAGAAGCACGAACACAAATAACGGGGAAACTAAAGTTAAATTAAAAAATACACAACTGCAGCACTTAGACTCTATAACTCAAGACCAACTTGTATTATTTGTGAAGAAGACACTGATTATTTATCTATTAGGTCTTGGTACTTTCCAATGAACTTTTTGAGAAAAAGGACGAGACTTTCTTTGACAAAACCATGACTCATTATTTTTTTGCTCAAACACTGATGACGTTTTACAAAGTCTGAGTAGCAGCTGCAAGCTTTTGAATAACGTATGAGTTGAGAAATGTATACTCAATATGTGGGTGAAGTTGGAATATTGCTGCTAAGGTGAGGAAAATTTATAATTTCAAAATTGAAATCGTCTTGTTTGCCATAGATTCTGGTATCGTGATGACCGCTGTTGTCAATTTCGAGGTAAATGTCTTGAAGTGATGCGGCGGAAGCAGAGTTTGTAGTTTCTTTAATCTGTAATTCAGGAGGATATTTTAATGGGACCCAATCAGAAAAGTTTGGAGGGTTAATGGAAAGAACATCATCTATACACTTTTATGTGAAATTAAATAATATAGCTCTTTGATCTTCTTGTTTTTACAAGTGTCTGAAGGAACTCCGACTCATATGAACGAGAGCATCAATATTTGAAGGGGCTGTAAATCTAATATAAGGATCGAGAACACCAAATCATTGACGGGGAATTTAAATTTAATATAAAGAGCATGAAATATTGGACTGGGACTGTCAATTAAATATAAAGAATAAGAGAACCAGATCTTTGAAGGGACATATGAATTCAACATGAAGAAAGAGCGCATCTAACTTTTGAAGGGACCTGTTAATCTGATATGAAGAATGAGAGCACATCTATGGAGGGTCAATTTAATCTTGTTTGAAGAATGGGAGCATGCAATCTTTGAAGGAGCCTGTAAATTTAATATCAAGAATAAGAAAGCAAATCTTTTTATGGACCTATCAAATGTTTATGAATAAAGAAAGTGCCACATCTTTGAAGAGACCTATGAATTTAAAATGCAGAATGAGAGCGAGCACAACAAATCTAAGGGGCCTTTAAATTTAATACTGTTAATTCAGAAATTATTGCGATGTTTTTATAGATTTTTATTGTGAATAATGAGACTTGTTGAGTATTGCCAAAAAAAAAAAGGACTTCGCATTTTGATATCTCATGCATTATATCTGCATACATCTTTTCTTGAAATCACCATTATAAATCTAGAACTTTGGTTGGTTATGTCAAGATGGCAATAGTAAATGCTAGAAATATTTTCAGAATTTACAGTATGAAGAATGTGAGCAACACATCTTTAAAAGTGGCCTTTGGATTAAATATGAAGAATGACAGCACCACTGAAATATTTGAAGGAGCCTGTAAATTTAAATCAGAATTTCTGACCATACAAATTGCATCACTGTTTCCTTATACAGACCAAACACACAGCTGGTTTCTTAATCTAGTAAAAGAGGTCATCTAAACAAGTTTTAAGTTTCATAATTATTATGGAATCAATAAAAATCATAAGTTAGTCGTATGAATTTTGACCTGATTGGGTATTTATGCAACCCGCCATCGGATTTTTGCCTTTTTACCTTTAGGCATTCCTGAAACAGGTGGGTCCTGGGGTGCAATTGGGACACAAAGGGTTTTAACAGTGTTGTTTCTATTTTGTTTACCCTTGTATTTATATTTACTCAATTTTTACTTTATCGAGAAAGTATATACTATATACGGTATGTACTATCAACGACAAAAACTTTTCCTAATTGTCTAATTTACGTCACTGATGAGTCTTTTGTAGACGTAGTCCGTCGTACAAAATTTTAATCCTGGCATCTATGATGAGTTTTTTACTATCTACTACATATTTTTTGTTGTCGTCTTTAAATTTGTTAGATATTGTATGTTTGCTTGAATTTTTAGTCAGTTGTTTTGTATCGTTTGTTTGTGATGTATTTTCATACAGTTATGGCTGCTTGATCCCAATCTAGTATTTGAAAGAGACCAACATGAAATGGAGGTCAAGGTCAGATGATACCGACTAGACCGACATGAACACCTTACAATCATTCCATACACCAGATATAGTTGACTTATTTCTAATAGTACTTGAAAAACAGACCAAAGCACAAAAACTTGACCAATGAAACATGAAAATGAGGTCAAGGTCAGATGAAACCTGCCAACCTGATATGTATCCCTTACAATCATTTCATACACCACATATAGTTGACCTACTGCTTAAAGTATCTGAAAAATAGACCTAATGACGTAACTTTAACATTGATCACTGATTCATGAAAATGAGGTCGAGGTCAGGTAAACACTGTCTGACGAACATGTAGACGTTGCAAGGAACCCATATACCAAATATAATCTCATAAGTGAGAAATCACATGAAAAAAAACAACATTTTTTTTCAAGCAATCACTGAACCATGAAAATGAGGCCAAGGAAAAATGGACATATAACAGACGGAAACTTCTTAACATAATGTATCTGCATACAAGATATGAAACATCCAGGTCTTCTGAAGTATAAAGCTTTATACAAATAATTTACGCCGCCGCCGCCGAATAGTAATACCTATGTCTCGCATATGGCAAATTTCGTCAGAGGCGAGACAAAAAACGATCCTGCTTCAATTATTTAAGCAAGTACAATATAAAAACAAGAGCACTAAATTGAACGGGACTGTAAATTTAATATAAATAATGAGAGCATATTTGTAAATTTAAAATGAGGAATGAGAGCTGAAGAATTAGAGCGAGCACCACAGATTGAGAGGGGCTTGTTAATTAAAATGAAGAATGAGAGAACCACATCTTTTAAATGGCCTAAGGATTTAATATGAAGAATGAGAGCACCACATCTTTGAAGTGACCTATGAATTTAATATGAAGAATGATAGCATCAAATATTCCAAAAGGGACATGTAAAATACTTATGAAGACAAAGAGTCCTAAATCTTTGAAGGGGCCTGTAAATTTAAAATAAAAAAATAGAGCACTACATCTTTATAGGGGCCTATAAATTTAAAATGAAAAATTAGAGCAACATATCTTTAAAGGGACCTATGGATTTAATAAGAAGAATGAGAGCATCACATCTTTGATGGGACATGTAAATTTAATATGAGGAAAGACAGCATCACATCTTTGAAGGGACCTATGAATTTAATATTAAGAATTTGAGCGAGCACCACAGCTTTGAAGGGGCTTATTAACTAAAATGAAAAATGTGAGCACAACAACTTTTAAGTGAACTATGAATATAATATGAGGAATGAGGCCGCACCACATCTTTAAAGTGAACAATTTGATATGAACAATGAGAGCACCACATCTTTTAAGTGAACTATGAATATAGTATGAGAGCATCAAATATTTCAAAAGAGACATGTAAAATAAGTATGAAAATCGAGAGTACCAAATTGTTGAAGTGGCCTGTTAATCTAAAATCAAGAATGAGACCGACAAATCTTTGAAGGGATCTATGAATCTAAAATAAACGAGCACAGATAATGGCATGGCAATACATAGTCCCCTACCGGTTCAAAATTCATTGTACTGGAACAAAGTGCAAGGACAACAACTCTCCACAAAATCACCAGAACGGAACAAAATTCGAACATGATCTGTTAACTAGTCATAATAAAACTACATACAAAATATCAAATCAATATCTTCAAGCACGAAGACAAAAAGTGTGGAAGACTGATTATTTGCATGAATTTTCTAAGTGCAAGGACCATAACTCTTCACAAAATCATCAGACTGGAACAAAATTCGAACTTGATCTGTAACTGGTCATAATAAAACTACATACGAAATATCAAATCAATATCTTCAAACAAGAAAGATTGTGGAAAACTGATTTGCTGCACTAACAACGGACGGACCAACAGACAGACAGAGGGAGTGCTAACCTAAAAATGGGAGCAATAAATCTTTGAAGTGGCCTTAATAAGAATTTCTGACCAGCCACAATACATCCTTGTTTTCTAAGACCGATCAAACCAAAGGCTGTTTTCTTTTCCTACAAATAATATATTGTTATTTCTCTCATGGATGATTATTGAAAAAGCATTAAATAGTTTCAATTAGGAATAAAACATTCTATAACCAAATGTAGTTTTGAGATGCCAATTTTGGAGTTATCATGCAAACAAGAAAAAAATAAATAGGAAATGTGTCCATGGGACACAGATGATGACCCAGCTTGCATATAACATTATAAAGGGACATAACTCAAGAACTGTACAAGTGACGCTACCCGAATTTGTACTTGATCTGAGTTTTGTGGAAATAAGCATTGTTTATAAGTTTCATGACATTTAGTTGAAGCAAATATTTCAGCAATTTTTCCATTTGTAAAGCGGCTTAACTCTAGAACGGTAAAAGTGACGCCACCAAAATTCAAACTTGATCTGTGTTTTGTGGTATTAAGCTTGTGTATAAGTTTCATAACATTTGGTTGTTGAGACAAACTAAAGTTAGAAATTTTGGGACGTACGGACGGACAAGGGTCAAACTTAATGCCCCCTCCACTACGGCAGGGGCATAAAAAAGTGTCCATTGAACATCATTCCCTGCTCTGGGTCAAAACCTTAATCTGGCATACAATTCAAAGTATTCACATGATTATAAATATGTGTACTTCCAAGTTGATGTGACCACAAATTCAGGGTAGTCTACCTTAAAACATAACTTTATATTGATACAGAGCTGACAGATGGACACATAGACTGGAAAACAATATACCCAACTTATATCTAAGATTGGCACAAAAATCAACAAAGTTTCTTTGCAATTATGTATCGTGATTATTTTTATGTCAAACTTAATATTTTCATTATACAAATGCAAACATTTGGTTAAAACATTGAATTAATTTACTGTATGCATACAATTCACCATAAAACATCACTTTATTGATACAGCACTCATGTTCAAATAAATAACACAATAATAAAATAACATCAAGAGTAATGAAACTTAAATTTCTCTTGACACTTGCTGCTACGATATATTTACATTTGCATTACAGTGAAACAATCTAAGTTTTTCTGTTTACAAAAGTAAAGATTCTAATGCAGTAAAGATGTACATTACAGGCTTATGCAATAAACATTAACCAGTATAATGTTGTAAGTTTATCAGAAAAACCAATAAAAGTCTCTCTTATTCGTAATCGATTTCTTCCTAGCTGGTTAATTTTTAATTTGCATTTAATGGTAAAATGTTCACACTAATAAGGCAGATTATGAAAAATTATCAAATCCCATTGTTAGTTAATCAAAAAATTATATAAACCATATGCGAGTTATTCAAAATCTTTGGTGTCTCCTACATTTATCCTTGTTTATCTATTCCTAAATGAGATGAACCCCTATCTTTCTTGTTTAAAAAAGCATTAACAGAGAGGCGAAAGATACCAAAGGGACATTCAATCTCATAAGTCGAAAATAAACTGACCATTCCAGTGGAAAAAAGAAAGACCAAAAGATAAACAGTACACACTTAGAAAACTGCAAACTAAGCAACAATGTGATTATTCTTAATATCAATGACTAGGTTTAACTGAATATTGAACCTACTTTCATTTCATTCTTACACAATGACCATATCAGTGTTTATGATGAGCCCTTCATGTACCTTTGCTGTGTAAGGATATTATGGGATAGATTCATACGATTGCTTTGTTTGTTTGACCAAGGTTCTTATTTGTTGGAATTTTAAATCAAGATTTTCAAGCATAATTGTGTTAATCTTACCCCCACTCACAGATATTTGAAAACAGGATGTACAACGAAGGTGTCTTGACAGATAGAAAATGTGCTAACATGTTACAACTGATTACTGTCATACAGCTGACCAAATATCAAGTCATTCTATCTGACAGTATATTCTGAGAAAAGTACCTTGAAAATATTTGTCTTCATTTAACGTATTGGAAAATTTAAAGTATAAGCAAACAGAAAGTAGGTTTCTGACAGATTGAAACCTTTAAACAACTCATCACTTCCAAAATAATGAGAAAAAGGTCATGAGGGGTATATGTCAATGAGACGACAAGTCAACAACACAAAATATTTCAAGACATTTACAGAACCAGACTGTGTATTTCCTTAATTCCCTTGCTTGAACGTTATCTGTATCTTAACTAATTATCTTTCATACATATAAACAGTAACTGTCAACCTTCTATGAGATATTTATCACATGCCCCAAGTATTCATTGAAAGGCACACATTTCAAATGAATATTTTCCTTTCTTGTAGATTAATTGATTTTTGGTGTTTAATGCCACTGTCAGCACTATTGGCTTTATAGTCATGATAGTGGCAGTCATTATTTATTGATGCAGGTAAAACAAAAAATACCATTCGGAGCAAAAATTTGAATTTCAATAGACAAATACATAAAGTGTTTTATTTTAGCATGACTGTACAATATCCCATCAAATCCTTGTTTTACATAACAAAAGTCCCCTATATTCAATAGTCATGCTATATTACTTCCAGATCAGCTGATATTTTACTTTTCATACTTATATTTTTTTTTTTAAATTATCAAAAACATGAATAGGAACAAAAACAATGCCTGAAAAAATTTAAATTCCCAATAGGAAAGTTAATTAGGAGAAGGAGTCTAACAAGAAAAAGAGGTTAGCAATTATGGATAAATAAAAGGAGATGTACGGCATTCATCAATTTAAAAAAAAAAAAAAAACATCAAATGTACTGGAACCATTATGCAAAACAGTTTATACATTAATTACTTCTAAGGCAAGTAAATTATACAGAAATAATATTTGAAAATTTTATCATAGACAGCAACATCTTTCTAAAGCAGAAGATATTATTTGACCATTAAGTATTGTATCTTATAGGTCACATACAAGTTAACTTTGTTAATTTCATTCCATTAATTCCAAATGAAGACAATTATCATTTCTAATAATATATATCGTTATATATTTACGACATATTATATTCCTGTACCATTCTTTTTTATTAGACAGGGATTGTAAACCTAAAGTTACCTTACTGGATTACTAAGGTAATAGGAAAGTGTAAGAGAAATTGAAAGATCATAACTGTAAATATGTGTTTTATGAGTAAACAGGACATTCATGTCTTTTTTTCCAACATACTATTTAATAGATAATGTTATTGTATTTTTCACTTGGCCTACCTAAAACATGAGTAAACTGTCTCAAATTGAGTTTTCCTAGTGATGCCTAATGAAGCTAGGTAATCTGATATTTGCAACAGTAAAACCAGTTTTACATAGGTCAAGCTTCAAACACTATAAAGTCACTTCTATTCTAATGCAAAATAAACAAATCAGTCCATTTCAGTCATTATTTAGGTGTATGTGTTCATAAAACTGAACAAAGGGACGTCATTAGTACTCTTTGGCATCAACCGTAAAAAAACAACTGTTTTTTTGCTTCTCATACACTTCAGATAGTAATAAGCTTTAAAAAGAAGACTTTTAGGTCAAACATAAGCTTGACAGAAGGCCCAGGTGGAATATAACCATATGTAATCGTTTATCTGATGATGTTAAAATGAATCATTTTAGATAGCATCATTTCTTAACACATGGTGGGATATATCTATATAAGCATGAATTTGTTAAAAAAACATTTAAAAATTGGTGCAAAATGCAATTTTCAATTAAAATATAGCAATTATAATCCAAACCTTAATGAACTAAATTGTAAATCATCAGTTAATTTACAATTCAATCGATATATTCATTATTTACTTTACATGCACATGCAAAGTAATTCAGTCCTATTCAGCAATGAAAAGTGGTCACATGGATTGTATAACACCTGGCTTTACTGATGGGAAGAGGAAGTTGGGCCAGGATGTCTGTCTAAGTGAAAAATGTGAGTAAAAAACTTATTGAAGAAATCACATGTCAATATATTCCTTAATCCAAAATTTCTTCTTCCCTAAGATACACACAGGTAGATTGAGAATTTTAGAGTGGTAATCAGAACCATAAATACAAATTAATTGTGTTAGAATTATTTTTTTACACTACATAGCAGATGATTGGCTGTTATTATGCAACAACTTTGATTGCTGTGGTATGATATGATGATGATCTTGATTGGTATTTAAATCAGAGGTATATAAGTATTGTAGATTCATCTTCCTTCAAGAGATCACATTTCCCATGCATTTCTCCTAAATCATGAAGTTAAGTTTGCATAGGTGTTCACAAGATTTTGAACCCTTCTGTAAAGTTTTAATCTAAAAAATCCTGACCTATTCCCTATTCCCTATGCATCAAATACTCTTATCAATAAGTAGTGCAAATTTTTGTTTTGATATAACATTTTTTAGTAATACATGTTTATTAATGTATGTAACAAAATCTTTCAGTAGAGCTGACAACCTAGCTTTCATTATATCACTATTTTTATCAATGAATTGAATCATAAACACACAACATTGTAGATATTTAAGTCCAATATTCTCGATCTGATCCAGACACACATGCAAAATGTGAATCAGATACAATGAACTTCATCTCCTGTGGTTGTCTGTCACATAATTAAGTCCAATATTTATGGATCTGATGCAGTGACCTCAGTCCCCTGTTGTGTCTATCACATATATTAATCTCTAACAAAACATATATAAATCTCTAACAAAACTGTCTATCAGCTTCGTCTCACTGCCGTGGAATACACTGAGATAAATGAATCATTTCCTCCAGCTGCTAACTTGACCTGTAAAATAAAATGTTTTTCTCTTATTCTTATCAGATTTAACCTTTCCAAGAACAGTTAGATATCTTTTTTATAACAATGTGTGATTTGGGTTGTACACAATACCTCATTTTTTTCATCTAATGTTTGGTACAGCAAAAATAATTTGATAAACTTAACAATTAAATATTTCTTAGGACATGTTTTTGAGAAAAGGCAATATAAAGTCAACTTATTCAATATCTTTTTTTATTCTTATTGTCTTATTTTGATTCAATTTTTTTTTAGCACAATATACTTTTGTACTTCCATCTGCAAAATATGTGTATCCTGAGGAAGAAAGTGTTACCTGTTGTCTCAGATAAGATATCCTGAGGAAGAAAGTGTTACCTGTTGTCTCAGATAAGATATCCTGAGGAAGAAAGTGTTACCTGTTGTCTCAGATAAGATATCCTGAGGAAGAAAGTGTTACCTGTTGTCTCAGATAAGATATCCTGAGGAAGAAAGTGTTACCTGTTGTCTCAAATAAGATATCCTGAGGAAGAAAGTGTTACCTGTAGTCTTAGTTAAGATATCCTGAGGAAGAAAGTGTTACCTGTTGTCTCAGATAAGATATCCTGAGGAAGAAAGTGTTACCTGTTGTCTCAGATAAGATAAGTAGAAATGACTACGGAAAATCATAACAATCACTAAGATCTTGGATCAAAAACTAAAATACAACTTAAGGGCATATGATACAGAAGGAATCTCTCCTTGATTTTTCCTTCAAATTTTGACACATTCTCAATTTTGATATGCACTATCGAATATGTTAGGATAAATGTACCTTCCTGACTTACTTTTCAAGATATTTCAACTGGATTTTGGCATGTTTGAGTTAAAATAAAAATTTCTATATTTCAAAACTTCACAGAAAAAAGAAAAACTTTCAAACAAAAAGATATTTTATTGTGTTTTTTTGGAAGTGTTCCTCAGTTTATAGGCTTTTAAGATAGTTTCTAAGTTGAAAGCTAAAATAAAATAACGATGTAGTGAAATCATGCAATTATTGGTGAAAGCTGACATCTTTCTTAACAATATAAATGCATGCAGAAAAATTTCTTGGAACTATGACAAAACATTCTTGAAGCAGTACAAGATCTATCGCAAAAGAAAAAAAATGTTGCTAAAAGTGTTGGTTTTTGGCTAAAAGCAGATAACTTCATTTTTTAAAGATTAAAGATAGCATTTCTGTTTTTTTTTGCACAAAATAAAGTTGTAGTGCATTTCTAGAGAAACACATGTAAGCATTCCTGCCATTTACATACCACATCTTTATACAAAACCCCACATTTATTGAATATTTAAGTGACAGAGAAAAGTAACAATTATTTTTTACTCTAGCTTATATCCCACAGTTGATTTCACTTGCTTCCATCAACAACAAACTCTTTTCTTTTAAGCTGCTTTCAACATCATGCAAACGATCTGATTGCCTCAGAGTGTTTTCTGTATTTCTTTTTTCAAAGAGTTGCCTGTGACAAAGTTCAATGTAGACAAATATGCCACAATGAAATAAATCGACTATTGATTTTTCTTACAACATCTCGATATTACATTTAATATGGAAACAGCACAAAGTTAATTGCCAAAAAAAGGGGGCAATGTGTTCATTTTATAACTAGAAATAGAATTCCTATTTTTTTAAATGCAAATTATCCTTTTTTGGCACTAAATTACATAGCAATATATTCTAAATGAAACATTACCTTGCAACAATGATTCTGGTCATGAACATTAAAAAAACTAAATGAATTACTGCCATATACAAATTTATTGATGATAGATAAAAGTAAACCATCTTCATTAGCCTTGAATTTTATGCCCATGCAGTAAATTTTGAGTGCTTTAGTATACCACAAGTTTGTCTTCCTTTGCAATTTCTTTCAAATAAATGTAGCCGATTTGATGACGTAAATGCATTTTTTGTAAAACATAAGGTGTTAAATTTGAGTGCATTATTATCTGCCCCTGCTACTGTATTGTATGCCCTTAATTAATATTAATGAAACTAGTCAGTACAATTTTGATTAGATTCTATGAAGGGCATTTTAAAATTTTTACAAGTTTCAAATACATAGTGCTCAGGTAAGACTGTTTAATTCCAATAACCTCTCAAAATGACTTTGACCTTGTTTCAACAACTGACATTTATTTTATTTGTAAATTAACCTTCCATGAAAATTGTTAACACATTTATTGTGTACACACTCTTAAACATTCAGTGAAATATTCCTGCTTCCTAACAATGATTAGGTAGTAACAAAGCAAGGTCAGAGTGTTGACTGAGTTCTTGGTATTCCAACAATTTGATATAGCAATACACACCTTTCAAAGAACTGAATGACAGATATGTTGGTGAAATGAAATACAAATACTCAAGTATCTATACTCGTATTAACAGGGCATTAAAATTACTATTGACAAAAAGTTCTCTGTCCAAAGAATTCTCTTAACATATAACTCTCACATAAAAAACAATTGCCAAAGAAATAACTGATTAACTTCTTTTTACACAATGTCTAACAGCCATTTTATATCATTCCTGTATTATGACAAAAGGTAAGAGAGCTCAATGGTGACGTTTTCAGTCCTAAAGTAACTAAGTGTACCTCTACTCACCTTATAAGGATGGAAAGCTAGGCAATTGATTGAGCCTATTCTCTGTCCTAGACATCCTTCATGATATTTAATGGTACTAAGTGTATCTCTACTCACCTTATAAGGATGGAAAGCTAGACAATTGATTGAGCCTATTCTCTATCCTAGAAATCCTTCATGGTATTTAATGGTACTAAGTGTATCTCTACTCACCTTATAAGGATGGAAAGCTAGACAATTGATTGAGCCTATTCTCTGTCCTAGAAATCCCTCATGGTATTTAATGGTACTAAGTGAATCACCGGACTGGTTATAAACTCCAATCATTTGATTGAAAGAACCACTGCAAAAGATTAAATGTATCTGTATAAGCTTACTTATGTATAATTTATAAATGTATCTGTATAAGCTTACTTATGTATAATTTATAAATGTATCTGTATAAGCTTACTTATGTATAATTTATAAATGTATCTGTATAAGCTTACTTATGTATAATTTATAAATGTATCTGTATAAGCTTACTTATGTATAATTTATAAATGTATCTGTACCAGCTTACTTATGTATAATTTATAAATGTATCTGTATAAGCTTACTTATGTATAATTTATAAATGTATCTGTATCAGCTTACTTATGTATAATTTATCAATGATATCTCATCCAGAATATGAATGAGATATTTGTCACTTGACATTACACCAACAACAATAAAACAATGTAAATATAGGGAAGAGAAATATTTTCACATTATCTTGAACATGCATGAAATATTTGCCACTGGACATTTAGCAACCAACAATCAATCAGTCATATTCTCACATGTACCTTTCTGCAATTTGTTTTTCCTGTTTCTTCCTAGAATAATGGGAGACAGACTAAGTCTCATTGTAGTTCCTATGAAGATAACCAGGAGAAGTATTGGATTTGGTTACACAAATGGTGTAAAGTAGGTCATCAGTATTTGTTCTTTGTAACATCTTAATATTATTGACATTTCAGACATTTGACTGAAGACCTATGATAATCTTTGTTGATTAAATTCACAACTTGAGAACCTATTTATTTTTGAAGAGAATGTGTTAACTTGTAGATGTCCTAATGAAACCCCACAAAGCTTTTTCATGTTACATTTATACAAAAATAATTTAATTCTGTATGTAACATGTCTTCTGATTGGCTGAAAGTTTGCTGTTTATCAGCTCATAGACATAATTTTGTCATGTGACTGTGACGTCATCAACGTTTTTCAATGATTTACTCCCTTAAAAATGAGAATTTAAAATGTTATAAGGAATGACTGTTATATTTTTTCTGTCTATTTGAAATATCCTCAAAAATGTGGTGCACACTTTTTAATAACCCGCTATGCGAGTTATTCAGTATGCACCAAATTTTTTATGTTGTTTCATCATAGACAGAAAAAATATTACAGTCATTCCTTAAATATGTGCACAGGAAAATAAGGGATCATAGATTTATTCTTACGAGGAAGCTCCGAGCATGCTTGGAGGATGCTCGGAGCTTTTCAGTAGGCTCTTCTCAGCAGTTAATGTGACAATAATTATCATGATCCATTAAGATGTCAATCAAATCTATAGCACTTTTATAATAAGGAAAGTAGAGCATTATAGAGGAAGCTCCATTAACACCTGTGTAAACATCTGGTCTATTCAAACAAATCTTGCATTAATTTTACAAAACTATGAAATAGATGAGAAATTCTTCAATATTACTGTACAATGCTTGGTATCAAGTCTTCACAGAAAGAAAATGATTTCAAAACATTTTCTTAATAATTATCATTCTTTTTCAATACACATGATATAAAAAAACACTCAAATTTTATATTTGAAATATAAATATATTTTAAATTTATACTATATAAAATGAAATATAAAAGTCATCAAAGACGCAAACTATGGTTATTGATTTATAACCATACTACCAAAACATAGTACATTCAGTTTCATACGAAAAAGGGTTGATCTTTTTTATATTCCATTTAATTTGACAGTTGTTTGAAATAAATCCTCCATTTCATTGCAGAAAATTTTTTTGAGACGCAAACATGTTTCTTGGGTGTTTCAAAGCAATAAAAATATATTATATTCTACAGGGAAAAAAGGGGGAGAGAATTTGATTGGTTAACTTCTGGTGATGTTTACTTTCTTATATGCACTGAAAAGTTATGCTATATTTTCACTGTAGTACAGGACATTTATTTATGTCAAGTATTTCTTTATTTAAAACATAGATAAATTCTGCACATTTTTTTTGAAATATAACAATCATGACAATTAAACAAAGACTTATAGGGGGAAAATAATTTTACTCATGCCAAGTATTTCTTTATTTAAAACAAAGCTAAATCTGCACAATTAAAATAAAATGCCAAGTAAAGAGAGACGTACTAGAGGGAAAACAATGGTGGTATTACCCCCTCAAACCAGGCATCCACTAATGAATTAAAACTTTTCTTAAAGTAGCCATAATTTTCTATAAAAGAACTTAGTTTGCTATTTAAAAAAAACATATTACCATTGTTTAGTTAGGGGCATTACTTAAACAAGTAATTTTCAAAATTACCTATACAAGTTATGTTGAAAACAAGGCTGTTTCAAATATTACTTCTATATCATGAATAAGTAACTTCTGTTAATATTATTTTGATAGGTGTTCATTCATACAGGTTTTACTAGCTTTAACAAATTTTCACAGACATCTGGTTATTTTCCCCATGAAATATACTTGTAAAGCTATTTAAATCCTCAACAAGCACTAATTGCTTTTCTGATGCCACACTTCTTGGTCAAAGATTGGCCTCTTGGGGCTATTATAATATCATTTCCCCTTAAAATCTTAGAGATAGACAGTTATAACTAGATATGGAACCTTTAATTAAGACTTGAAGTTATTTATAATTTGAATCTTAATCGAAAGCAATTACATATATTCCTTAATAATTGTAAGTACTAAGTTTTTTGAAGTTGTATAAAATAATTTATTAAAGTAATATTTTTGTCATTATTTTTTAAAGTAACCTCTCTATACTCATCTCAAATTGGATAAATACTTAATTTTATTTAATGAAATGATATAAAAATTCTTGAAAACTACATTTAGTCCATGCTTTATTTGTCATTTAAAATAACTATTGAGTTATTAAATAATTTTTAAAAACAAAACATATTTATAAAAGTGACTAAAAAAAATAACTTGTTTAGTATCGCCACCTGACTGTTGTTTGTGTCTTGATAACTTTTATGTAGCATAATATCTATTTTTAAATCATATCATCTAATTATAAAATTTGAGAATTTTTTTATTATAAAAAAAGGAATGATTATTAAATATAATAAGAAAATATTTAAATGACTTTTACTTTTTGTGGAGACTTGAGATTTCTTTCTAAGCATTACACAGCACTGTTGAAGAATTTCTAATCTATTTTATAGTTTTGTAAAATTTAATGCAAAATGTATTAGAATAGACCAGATGTTTACACAGGTGTTTATGGAGCATCCTCTATAATGCTCTACTTTCCTTATCATAGAAGTGGTGTAGATTTGATTGACATCTTAATGGATCATGATAATTATTGTCACATTAACTGCTGAGAAGAGCCTACTTAAAAAGCTCCGAGCATCCTCCGAGCATGCTCGGAGCTTCCTCGTAAGAATAAATCTATGATCCCTAAGATATGTATGTGCGAAGCTAGGGAAATACAAACTAGTTAATGTAGTTTGATTGGGGTAAAAAACAAACTTTTAAATAAATTCAATAGTCAAAGGAATTTTGTTTAAATGGTGTCAATTTTAAGTTTTGATATGAAAAATTAAATGCACGCAGTATGCCTTTCAGTTTTTGTTGTCAGTTGTCGATCTTTTGAAATAGAATATACAACTATACTTTGTGTACTAATGGGTTTACATATCTGATCAACCTATTTCTATCCAAAAAATAAAAAAAAAACATGTTTTGATTTTTAGTTTAAAACAATTAAATACTTTAATGTGTGTAGCATAACATACCAAGCTAAAACATCTGCATGTTTGTGGATATCAACAGCAGTAAGTCCTTGTTGTAGATTAAGTGTTCTCACAGATTCTGTAAATCTTGGATCCCAGAATCTTACATCACCAGCATTACTGAAAATAAAAGTAGAACATATTAAGTTAATATTGCTATCATAATATATCTGTTAATTATATCACTGAAAATGTTACAATACTTATAACAAATGAACCTCTTAATGAAGCCAAACTAAACATGATAAGAGTTGTTGAGTTGCCCAAACAACTCTTTTTGTTATGCCTTAAAATTACTCTTTTAAAAAAATTAATTGCACTTCTTTCCCTATTTTTCTCAAGCAAGAAAACATCAAAAAATAATGATTTGTTTACATCTGTCTGAACCAAAGACTTTGTAACAAAAAATTTACAGATAATGAAATCACCTTGATGCATCAAATACACATTCCAAAAATCTATTTTTCATCAGTTGTACTCAAAGCCCAGTTAATGCTGCATGCTGTCTAAACAACTGCCTTTACATGTTGAAGAAAGTATAAACAGTAAAATGCCTTTTGCATTCCTTAATTTAAGACATACTTTTGATTCAAAATTTTATGCTAACTGATTTAACTTGCAAAGATTTTATCTATTTTGGCTGATATTTTAATATTTAAATACATTGATATATATCAAAACTGCTTAAGTTTAACCATAGGGCTGTTCCAGAAAATACTATGTCCCCCCCAGGCAGCACTTTTTTTTAACCCCCACCACCCACAGAAATAAAAATAAATTAGAACAACACTCCCTTTGCATTTTGGTATTTCAAATACAACCACCCACATAAAATTAAAATAAACGGTTAACACAGAGATATGTCTCGCCTATTTGTTATTTTGATAATGCAAATGTTGAAATTAAAATAGCAATACTCTAACATGTAAGTTATGCAAATATTCAAAGTCAATGAACCATGACTGAAGGTACAGGGCTAAACAATCTCCATGGAAATGAGATGTGCCAATGCTAATACAACTGCAAACCAAATACCATTGACAATACCAGTGAATTTTCATAAGTCGTTCCCTTTAAACAAACCTAAACACAAACTAACTTGTAAACTATGTAAAAGTTTCAAAGTAAATGAACCATAATTAGGGGGTGGGGTTATATAATCTCCATGGAAATGAAACTTGCAAATGCCAATACATTTGCATACCGAATATCATTGACTTAACATTAGTGGTTCATCTTAAACTGACCTTATCACAAACTAATACATGTAAACTAAGCAAAAGTTTCAAAGTCAATAGACCATGACTGAGGGGTAGGGACCAAATATTCTCCATGGAAATGAGATATGCCAATGCTTATACAACTGCATACCAAATATCATTGACCTACCACTAGTGGTTCACCATGAACTAGACCTAATCACAAACTAATAAATTGTTGACGCTGCCGCCGACACCGGAAACAGCATACCTATGTCTCGCTTTTTGACTCCCTCACGGCGAGACATAAATTGCCTTCCCTGGGGGGGGGGGGGGGGGGGGATAGTATTTTCTCGAACAGCCCTTAATGTAATCAGTCATCATAAAAGGTACTTACCTTGCACTAACTATTTTTCCTTCTGCACCTTTTTGTAAATGCACTTTTACAACCCATCGTGGATGCTCTCTTAAAGTCATTACTCGGCTAAAATGTAATATAAAGTCATTACTCGGCTACAATGTAATATAAAGTCATTACTCGGCTACAATGTAATATAAAGTCATTACTGGGCTAAAATGTAATATAAAGTCATTACTCAGCTTCAATGTAATATAGTCATTACTTGGCTACAATGTAATCTCCAATTTAATTCTGAAATATTGGTGGTAACACATATTTTATGTGTTAAATTACCTCAATCACACATGGAAGTTGAATTATCTCCCCTTTATGACATTTATCAAGTTTCCTGTACATCTTCATCGAGTGAATGACCATTTTATATGAATTTAATAAAATTTGAATTATCTCCACTCAGAGATTATTTGGTTTCCTGTACATCTTCTTTCAGTCAGCAGCCATTTTATAAAATCACTTAAATTTAAATGAAAGTTAATTGAAACATCTCCCCTCCATTAGATATTGAACTTAATTATTCAATTTCCTGTACATCTTCATTTAGATAAGAGCCATTTTATAAAATCATTTAAATTAAAATGATTTATATTATTTCCCCTCTAAGGTGTTTCGCATAATTATCTAGCTTCCTGCATATCTTCATTGAGTGAGCAACCATTTTATGTGATCAAATCTAACAAAAATTAAGTTGAATTATCTGCTTTACTCTATGAAATGTTACTTTAAAAATTCATCTAGCTTTCTGTACATCTTTATTGAGTGGGCAGACGATGAATTAAATAAAAAGTAGGTTGAATTATCTCCCCTCTTTGATTTAGACTTCATATTTTAGTTTTCTGTACATCATCATTATAAAAAGACTTATCAAATCATATGATGGATTTAACAAAAATATGTGTACATAGGACACAATGCCCTGCTCACACTATCTTATTTCTATATATGTTCAGTGAATCATAAAATCTCTATGAACTGTTGACACAGAGATATGTCTTGCTTGTGTGCAGAAAATCCAGAAAAAGACAATCCGATGGACAGCAATAATGCTAATTAATTCAAAATTGCAGGACCATGACCTAGGCGACTGGGACTCGAAATGGTTGCCAAACTGAGATGTACTGATAGTAATGCAACTTTATAGAAATAAACTGTTATCACAGAGATATGTCTCACCTTTTTGTAATTTTGATAATGCAAATGTTGAAATTAAAATAGCAATACTTTAACATGTAATTTATGCAAATATTCAAAGTCGATGAACCATGACTGAAGGTACATGGCTAAACAATCTCCATGGAATGAGATGTGCCAATGCTAATACAACTGCATACCAAATACCATTGACTTATTATAAGTCGTTCCCTTTAAACAAACCTAAACACAAACATTAACTTGTAAACTGTGTAAAAGTTTCAAAGTCAATGAACCATGATCAGGGGTGGGGCTATATAATCTCCATGGAAACAATACTTGCAAATGCCAATAAATTTGCATACCAAATATCATTGACTTAACATTAGCAGTTCTTCTTAAACTGATCTAATCACAAACTAATACATGTAAACTAAGCAAAAGTTTCAAAGTAAATAGACCATGACTGAGGGGGCGGGGCCAAATATTCTCCATGGAAATGATATGTGCTAATGCTTATACAACTGAATACCAATTAACATTGGCCTACCACTTATGGTTCCCCTTGAACTGACCTAATCACAAACTAATACATGTTAACTTAGCAAAATTTTCAAAGTCTAAAGACCATGACTATGGGGGCGGAGCCAAATTACCTCATGGAAATGAGATATGCCAGTGTTTATACAACTGCATACCAAATATCATTGACCTACCACTAGCGGTTCCCCTTAAATTGACCTAATCACAAACTAATACATGTAAACTATGAAAAGTTTCAAAGTCAATAGACCTTGACTGAGGGGGTGGGGCCAAATAATCTCCATGGTAATGAGATGTGCCAATGCTAATACAACTGCATACCAAACATCATATGCATTGACCTACCACTAGTGGTTCGCCATGAACTAGATCTAATCACAAACTAATACATTGTTGATTCCGCTGCCGCTGACACCGGAAACAGCATACCTATGTCTCGCTTTTTGACTTTGTCAAGGCGAGACAAAAATCATTGTCTATCATGAGAAGTACCTATAAAACTAACTTTAAGCAGAAAACTTAACATTGATAAATTGCTTCCCTGAGCGCAGCTGCATATGACCGCAGATGTCCAACCCTGAAAAGTTGGGGCCAAAATGGACACAATATTCATGCTTGATACAGGTCTGAATTTGGATTGTAATTAAATTTTTGACACATAATAGGTTTCTGACACAGATTAACTGTAGTCCACCTCCAATTTTTTTCACCTCCCCCCTTTCCCTTATTCCAAAAAATAATTCTTTCCCTCAAGTTATGGTCAGTATCTCAGACAATCATCATTTCTTAATACATAATTTACAAGCAGTGTAAGGGAGGTAATCAAACATTGTTATTTAAATTGATTTGGATTTTGATTTGGATTACCTCCCTTACACTGCTTTTAAATTGTCTCAATTGTCCTTTAACCAGAAACACCCTTGTTTTCCCCCTTTTTTTGCCCCTAATTCATAAATGGTTTGAGCCATAACCCCCCCAAAGTCAATTCTAACCATCCCTTTGTAGTATGGAAACTTGTGGTATAATTTCAGAGAGATTCATACACTTTAACACAAGTTATTGTCTGGAAACTACAAAAATGCTTATTTGGGCCCCTTTTTTGGCCCCTAATTCCTAAAAAGTTGGCACCATAACCCCCAAAATCAATCCCAATCTTCCTTTAGTGGTTATAAACCTTGTGTTAACATTTTATTGATTTATATTTACTTATACTAAAGTTATTATCCGGAAACCATCTGTCTTTGGACGACACTGACGACGACAACAACAACGATGACAATGTGATACCAATATACGACCAAAAATTTTTTAATTTTTGCGGTCGTATAAAAATTGGTAAATAATTGAAAGTCACTGGATCATGTCTTATGGGGGCAGGGCCTCGAAATGTTCATCGAACTGATATGTACTGATAGTAATGCAGCTTAACACAGAGTTCGCGAAAATGGTCGGTCCTGTCGGTCAAAATGAGGCTCGGACCAGTATTTTGAAGGCTAGTGCCTGTCCCGATGACCGATGTTAAAACGGCCATTGTAGTGCATATTACGTCACTTTTTTACATCGGTTATTAGATGTACCGCAACTGTTTCCAATAAGTGTTTACATCGGTTATCAGATGTACCCGTTGTTAATTTCCGTTAATAGTTTACGGAATTATTATAAACAAACCAAAGCGGCGATCTACACGTGGCCTTCTAAATTTGTTCATAGAGCCATCCCTGGCAAACAATAGGCGATTGAACCCTACAATGGAGCATACAAATACTGTAACAGCCGAGAAAGTGATTCAGATGATGAAATGGATAGTGAAGATGACTTTAAATAAGAACAATCAGAAGACCTGAACTTGTCCTTCATTGTTAATTTGCCTGTGGGTGCGAAGAATAAAACTAATATTAATAGTTATTTTTCGATAAAATATGTTATTAATTTTATTTCAGGATAAAATTGACAGATTTTGTAGGACTGGCTAAAATTTTGATGGACTGACAAATAATCATGCTTTGTCGGTCCCATGACCGACGGGTCAAAATAAGTTTTCGCAAACTCTGCTTAACAGAAAATATCATTGATCTATCACAAGAAGTTCCTATCAAACTGACTCAAGCAGAAAACTTCACAATTGTTGATGCTAACGATGCCAATGCCTAGCGCCGTCGCAGCAATACCAATCAGCTTCTGCAACTTTCATGGCAGGCTAGATAAGAGCCCCAATTTGGCATACATATTAAATAGCTTAGCCCATAATTAACATGCATACTACATTTCAAGCTGATGTAAGGGGGGGCGGGCTGGGATAATCAGTAACATCAAGATTTGTTTCTTACCATTCTGTTGGTGCCAGCCTTCTGTCAAACAGTCTGACTGTCCCATCCCCACAACCAGCTATCACTAATGATCTACCATCTGAGTCTGATGCTAAACTTGTCACACAACTATCAGCTCCTGTTGGAATATCCTGCAATACAAATTTGTTAATAAACTTGAGAAGTAAAAAAAACTATTTTTATATAGATTACTTTGCTGAATTTTTTCACACCTTCAAATAATGGCAAATCTTGGAATGATTTAACAATCAATTGCCTATCTTCCATGGCTGAAAACAAGAGGTCCTGTCACTAAGATCATACATATTGAACTTTGTTAAGGGAATTAATCATTAAAATATTTATTCAGTATGCATGCATGTATAATAATGCATTTGAAAGACTCACTGGCTGATGAGGATTTGACAAAGATGCATCTTTTTGACATAGATCTTTCAAATTGTGCTTCTTAGATATTGTGTACACTTTATGGGGTCATCAGCAGTAAGATTTGTTGTTCCATTGTACCAAGCTATTGTTGTTTAGTGATATGAAGTTGCTTTATGACCTATGAACATGATATTATTCTGAAATTTATGTCATAATTCTGCAAGGTCACATTTAATGGTTTAAGAAGGAACAAACAAACTTTGTTTTTCCTGTATTAGCTTTCTAAACTGAACTTTTTTTTTCTTTTTTAATAATTCCTGTTGGAATATCAAATTTTCTTGATTATTTTTTTCTTACTTTCAGATAAATCCAAACTCATTTTAAACTTCCTTGTGACTGCAACTTTTGATTTCGACAAAGCAATAAAGTAAAGGGAGATAGCACAATTAATTTAAACTGGTTCCTGACTAAGCAACAATTACCAAACCAGTTCATGTTTTGAAACATGGACACAGTCAAATGTTGGTGTTTTTAAATATATAATGTCAATGGTATCTATTTTTGCCAAAATTCTTATAGTATAGATAAATAGTCTGCTACGTGTGAATACGGCCAACTTGAATTTTAAAGGCCTGTGATAAGAAATTTAAAACTTGCCAAATTTCCCTTATATTCATACTGTATTAAATTATAAGTGCACACAGAAACCAAAAGATGAATTATTATTAGAATATTTTTTCGTAAATATCAACTAAATCAAAAGTTAACCCACAGAAGCCAGATCCAAGGATGCATATGGATGTAAATTACACAAAATAAGAAGACAACATAATTTTATGGTAGTCTCAATACATACATAGTTTTTAACATACATAGTTTTTAACTTACATTGTTTATAGTTTTTAACTTCAAAGGCATGTTCAAACAGGATTTTATTCATGTTTTAATTCTAATTTTTTCTAATTGACCATAGTTCATGTATGGTTCAATTTCATGATTTTTTTAATTAAAAGAATTTGACCATTTGACATTCATTGTTCCATGTTATCATGGTTATGTTTTCTTGATTTAATTTCTGGATTGAATTAATGCCATGAAAGATTTATTTTGTGTGGCCTTACCTGTAATTGATGCCATAAAAGATTTATTTTGTGTGGCCTTACCTGTAATTGATGCCATAAAAGATTTATTTTGTGTGGCCTTACCTGTAATTGATGACAAAATATGTATTTTGTGTGGCCTTATCTGTAATTGATGACATAAAAGATTTATTTTGTGTGGCCTTACCTGTAATTGATGCCATAAAAGATTTATTGTGTGTGGCCTTACCTGTAATTGATGACAAAATATTTATTTTGTGTGGCCTTACCTGTAATTGATGACATAAAAGATTTATTGTGTGTGGCCTTACCTGTAATTGATGACAAAATATTTATTTTGTGTGGCCTTACCTGTAATTGATGACATAAAAGATTTATTTTGTGTGGCCTTACCTGTAATTGATGACATAAAAGATTTATTGTGTGTGACCTTACCTGTAATTGATGACATAAAAGATTTATTTTGTGTGGCCTTACCTGTAATTAATGGCATATAAGATTTATTTTGGTGGCCTTACCTGTAATTGATGATATAAAATATTTATTTTGTGTGGCCTTACCTGTAATTGATGGCATAAAAGATTTATTTAGGTGGCCTTACCTGTAATTTGAGTTCTGTAACAGAATCCCAAACTCTTATATAACGTACATCACCAGATGCTAATAATCTACCTGATTCTTGTTCCCAATCAATCACCAACCCTGATCCTATAAAATAAAAGGTAAAAAGTGAACAAGTGCTTAATACTGATCTGATGAGTCAAGCCAGTTCCAACTTCCAACTGACATTTACAAATTGTTCTCATATTAAATTGTTTGGACTGTTGTTACACAACTGTCCCTGGCTAGAGGGAGGGTTCAGACTGTTGTTACACAACTGTCCATGGCTATAGGGGGGGGGGGGGGGGATGGGTTCAGACTGTTGTTACACAACTGTCCCTGGCCAGAGGGAGGGTTTAGTACTTACAAACATGATTAACACTACCACAATTTCCAGGATTTTGAAAAAGGGGCCCGTAGAAAGTTAACGTTTGGAGTGATACTATTGTATATGAAGCTCCATAAGGGGGAGGGGGTCAGGAACCCTGGACCCATCCCCCTTAATCGCCCTCTGATTTTTATGTGCTTGATATATCCTGTAATCCAGAGGATGTCCTGGGTTGTAGTTGCATTACTTGAGCCCTTCTTACTATACACTAGGAGTTTGTACTAGAGACCTTCTTACTATACACTAGGAGTTTTTGCATTACTAGAGCCCACCTTACTATACACAAGGAGTTTGTACTAGAGCCCATCTTACTATACACTAGGAGTTTGCACTAGAGCCCACCTTACTATACACTAGGAGTTTGCACTAGAGCCCATCTTACTATACACTAGGGGTTTGTACTAGAGCCCTTCTTACTATACACTAGGAGTTTGTACTAGAGCCCACCTTACTATACACTAGGAGTTTGTACTAGAGCCCACCTTAATATACACTAGGAGTTTGTATTAGAGCCCATCTTACTATACACTAGGGGTTTTTGCATTACTAGAGCCCACCTTACTATACACTAAGAGTTTGTACTAGAGCCCATCTTACTATACACTAGGAGTTTGTACTAGAGCCCTTCTTACTATACACTAGGAGTTTTTGCATTACTAGAGCCCACCTTACTATACACTAGGAGTTTGTACTAGAGCCCACCTTACTATACACTAGGAGTTTGTACTAGAGCCCACCTTACTATACACTAGGAGTTTGTACTAGAGCCCATCTTACTTTTACACTAGGAGTTTTTGCATTACTAGAGCCAACCTTACTATACACTAGGAGTTTGTACTAGAGCCCATCTTACTATACACTAGGAGTTTTTCTTAATCTTGATGCCATACTGAGCCCATCTTACTATACACTAGGAGTTTTTCTTAATCTGGATGCCATACTGAGCCCATCTTACTATACACTAGGAGTTTTTCTTAATCTTGATGACTGAGCCCATCTTACTATACACTAGGAGTTTTTCTTAATCTTGATGCCATACTGAGACATGTAGCTGTTTTACATCCTTGTCCTCTCTTCTTGTTTGAAAGCTGTCTCATTGGCAATCTTACAAACAGAAAGCTGTCTCATTGGCAATCTTACAAACATCTGTTTGTTTTTTTCACATTAATAAACATTAAAATATCTGACCTCCTGCAATATTAGAATTATTTTATAAAGGACATAAAACTCTAAAGGTCAAGTAAGACCTAATCAAATCTATCTGGTACGGGAACACAGTTATATTCCTTTGATTTATTTTGTCTTTTATTTCTGTCTTGTTCAGACAGTGTATTACTTGCAAATTGTTTTCAACACCTTCCAAATTTATTTCTTCATATTCTATGCGTAAAAATAGGGGCCTCGGTGGCCGAGTGGTCTAAGTAGTTACTACTGTAATCACTAGCCAGTCAACACTGAGGTTGTGAGTTCGAACCCCGCTCGTGCTCTCGACTCCAATCTTAATTGACTAGGATTGTCAGTTTTCCTATCGAAGGTCGGTGGTTTTCTCCGGGCACTCTGGCTTCCTCCACCAATAAAAACTGGCCGCCACGAAATAGCCTAAAAGCGGTGCTTAAAAGTGGCGTTAAAACACCAAAAATCAAATCAAATCTATGCGTAAAAGTAAGTAGGAGAATCAAATTACATGTAAATATAAGAAGATCTTTTGGACACAGAAACTGCTGCTTGTAAATGTGCAAGAGTCAATGTACTTATTTATACCTATTGGTGATTTTGTTTTCTTTGAAAATTAAGACTGATCATTGGTATATATTTCCTCATAGAATTTTCTTATCCTCTCGCCAAAATGAAGATTTTTCCATGCTTTTGTTCAAAATCATAACAAGAGGCTGTCAGAGTGACAGCAAACCAGATTTTCCTGCATAAAAATGATATTTGCAAATCTGGACCAGACATGATCAAGTAAAAAAAAAGTTTGCATTCAGCATTTCAAAGAACCCCATATATTCAATTTTCGTTGAAATCAAACAGTTTTATTTTGGACCCCTGATTTTGACCAACTTGAAAACTGGGTTCAAAATCAAAAATCTAAATACATGTTTATTAATAAGCAATATAAGTTTTAGTTTTCAAAGGAGTTTGCTACATAAAAAAAATATATATATTGCATTCAGAAAATTAGTTTATACAGAATAACAAACAAGTCTACCACAAAATTCTTCAAAACATTTACCTAAAAAAAAAGCAAACAAATTTCCAAAATATCATTATCATTAATACTATAATAATAATTAATACTAATCTATAAAACTTAGCTGTAATTAATTTCAAAATATAATCTATAATACTTATCTGTAATTAATTTCAAAATATAATCTATAAAACTTATCTGTAATTAATTTCAAAATATATAATAATGAGCTGTAAATTTCAAACTATATTTATACTGTCCTACAGAGCTTATTATCAACAACACTTAAGAAACACAAAATTTTCAAATAAATCTGTCACTCCAATTATAATTTTGTTAGTTGATAATTACCACACGTTTGTTATCTTCATAAAAGTGGAAATTATTGCATGAATAAAACAGATACAATCATGGAAAGACTGTCTATCCATATACTTATTAATTACACCATTTCTGTTCAAAGGGAAATAACTCAAAATAAATAAATCATATAATAAGTATCACTTTTGCTACTGAAAGGTCTACAACTCAACAATGAGAACAGCTAAAATCTTGAAAATTGAACTTGACCTTCATTTAGTCACAGGAAACAAGATATCTAAATTTGAAAAGATTTCGTCAAAGCTTTTTCATGTTAATGAACAGACACTGTTAGGCAGACGCCCGCCCTACATCCCCAAATCAATAACCAATTTTTCCTTCGAAAATCTGGTTAATAAAAAGTATGGGTCACCATGCTATTTTTCAAGCTACAACATTTACAAGTTGTGCAAAGTTGCCCAAATTTGCATAGATTGTTCATGAAAAATACAGTTTTTTGTGAATAAAAAGAAATTTATGAGATAGAATTTTGAAATACAATATGAGAAGATAGGTTTTAAGATATGCTTTAAGAAAATAAGAAAGAAAAAATGTTGTCACTGACCTTGTTTTCTTGCTACAAATAAAAATTGACTATTTCTCTATCATTCCTTTATCAAAATTTTACTTTTGAGTTACCTCCCCTTAAATGTTGACATTTTGATTTGAACAAACACAAATATTTAGTATTTTGTAAAGTGGTCTGAATAATGCAATAAACCCCTGATTTTTCTTGATTCCAATAAACAGTCTAACCCATTAATTGCCAATATGTCTCAAAATTTGCAGATTTAAGCAAAGAGCTAGACCTATTGTGAACTGCTATTTTAAAATCCAAGATGGCAGCATACAGTTAATCTACCTAAAGACATTTGTTTCTGTATGTTGTCAATAGAGATTGCTTGGGAACTTGAGTGCTCTCATTGTTCAATAACAAACAGTAATGGGGTAACTAGAAAGTGGTGAAAGTGACACCACCCAAAAATCTGTACTTGTTCTCTGTTCATGTTAAAAAGTACTGTGTATAAGTTTCATAACATTTGGTTGAGGCAACATAAAGTTTGAATGCAGAACAGCAAATTTGTCAATTTTTCCATCTATAAAGGGACATAACTTACGAACAGTCAAAGTTACACCACCCATGTTTCAAACTTGTTCTGTGTTTGTTGGTAATAAGCATTGTGTACAAGTTTCAGAACATTTGGTTGAGGGAAACACATGCAGACAGACAAGGGTAAACCTTAAAAAACATACGTATGTAAAGACAGACGTATGGATGTACAGACGGAAAAAGGAAAATCTTAACATACCATACGTATGTACAGAAGGACAAGAGTAAACCTTAATGCCCGCACCATTTGGCGGTTGCAAAAAATTTTTTAGGTCACAGACATTTCATTCTTCCGGCAGGAGTCAAAATCTCCTGATTTTCAAGCCCTCTTCTGTCCCTCCATGTTAAATATTCAAATCTTCCGTTTTTTGAGTCTTTCAATCCCAAAATTTTTTTCAGTCTCTGTTTTTTTTTCTCATCGATGACAATCTCTAATTTCGATTTTGTAACACTGATGAAGGTAATGTTTACCTGTAAATTAAAGAACTTATTATGTAAACAATGATCAGTGTATTAGAAAACACTAGATAGAAATTTCAAGTTACTTCCCCTATTCTACCATGTTTTTCAAGTTATCCTCCTCTCAAAATAATGTAAATGAGTACAAAATATAAAGGAAATACAAATTAAACGTAGAATGGTATAAGAATGATACTTAAACGGTTTTAAATTTCTTAAATAAAATTCTTAAAATAATTTGAGAGATCTATACTTTTTTTCAATGCTTAAATTGAAATTTATAACAATGTTTTTTTCATCAGTTAACTTTTTTTACCAATGTGCAAGACCCTCATGGGTAGTCAAGATCATCATAAACCACCTTGTCTATAACTCTCTAGAAATATGACCATGTTTAATTTCACATAAAACACATACACCATTTTTGAGTATGGGAACAAACTTCACCGTTTGTGGAACACAAAAAGAAAGACAGAAAAGATAAGAAAGGGAAAAATGTTCATATACATATTGTAAAGATTATTATGGAGGTGACCAGACAGTTAAATCTATACAGTACACATACATTATATTGTTGTTTACTTAATAAATTTTTATGAATAGATGCTGGAAAACTCATTTTTTTCTGCAGCAATTCTAAACATGACAAAGTAAAAATTGAGTTTTGTATTTATCTTGGTAAGAGAATACAATAAATACTTCATTTTAGTGGATAGTTGTCTTATTGGCAAATAAAAGTTTTATAAAAATCTGGCAACAATTGTACACATGAGAGTGCTAAAGATGCAATTTTCCATATAATTAATGTTTCCAAGGGGCACAACTTTTTTAAAAACAAGCATTCTGAGAGTATTGCATGGCAATACATAGTCCCCCTACCGGTTAAGAATTCATTGTACTGGAACAAAATGCTAACTTGATCTATAACTTGTCATGGTGTAAACTATCTAACAAATATCTAGTCAATATCTTCAAGCATGACGATAAAAAGTGCAGAAAACTTATTATTTGAGTGAATTTTCTAAATCCAAGGACCATAACTCTGCACAAAATCATCTGACCGGAACAAAATTCAAACTTGATCTGTAACTTGTCATACTAAAACTATATACCAATTATCAAATCAATATCTGCATGCATGACGAAAAAAAGTGTGGAAAACTGATTATTTGAGTGAATTTACTAAGTTCAAGGACTATAACTCTGGACAAAATAACCAAACCAGAACAAAATTCGAACTTGATCTGTAACTTGTCATGATAAAACTATATACCAAATATCAAATCAATATCTTCAAGCATAAAGAAAAAAACTGGAAAACTGATTTGCCGGAATAATAGATGGACAGACAGACAGACAGACAGACAGACAGACAGACAGACGGACGGACAGAGTGCAAACCTAAAGTCCCCTTCGGCTTCGTCGGTAGGGGAATAATAATTGATCAGCACTGATTTTCCAACTCATCCAAGACATTGCTGATATAAACCTATGATATAAGTTTCATTAAATGCTTCCCTGAGCGCAGCATGATACGACCGCCGAGGTCGAACCCTGAACAGTTGGGGCAAATTTGGACACAATATTCAAGCTTGACACTGTTTGAATTTGGATTGTGATCAAATTTTTGACATAATATAGGTTTCTGACACAAAATAAATGTGGTTAAAGATCTTAAAAATCTATTGCTCAATACTGTGCAATGGAAGATTTCTTCTTGAAACTTTTGAAATAAAATATGAACCCCTTAAAAAAATTGGAAAAAAATCCCCCCCCCCCCCCAAACTTTTTGAACCCCTCCCCTTGGAGCAATTACCCCCACACTTACAATTTAAGAGAGATCCATACACTTAAACACAAGTTATTGTCTTGAAACTAAAAAATGTTTGTTTTGGCCCCTTTTTTGTCCCTAATTCCTGCATGTTTGCGGCAATTACCCCCAAACTCAATCCCAGTCTTCCCTTTGTGATATGAAACCTTGTGGTACAATGTCAGACAGATCCATACATGTACACACAAGTTATTGTCTGGAAACTACAAAAACGCTTGTTTTTGGCCCCGAATTCCCAAACTGTTGGTACCATAACCCCCAAAATCAATCCCAACCTTCCTTTTGTGGTATTGAACCTTTTATTGTAAATAAATATACCGATACTGTTTTCTACCTATAATATATAGACCAATCTCAAGGTGTTATGAATTCTACCTATAATATATAGACCAATCTCAAGGTGTTATGAATTCTACCTATAATATATGGACCAATCTCAAGGTGTTATGAATTCTACCTATAATATATAGACCAATCTCAAGGTGTTGTTATGAATTCTACCTATATAATATATAGACCATTATCAAGGTGTTATGAATTCTACCTATAATATATAGAACAATCTCAAGGTGTTGTTATGAATTCTACCTATAATATATAGACCAATCTCAAGGTGTTGTTATGAATTCTACCTATCATATATAGACCAATCTCAAGGTGTTGTTATGAATTCTACCTATAATATATAGACCAATCTCAAGGTGTTGTTATGAATTCTACCTATAATATATAGACCAATCTAAAGGTGTTGTTATGGATTCTACCTATAATATAGACCAATCTCAAGGTGTTATGAATTCTACTTATAATATATAGACCAATCTCAAGGTGTTGTTATGAATTCTACCTGTAATATATAGACCAATCTCAAGGTGTTATGAATTCTACCTATAATATATAGACCAATCTCAAGGTGTTGTTTTGAATTCTACCTATAATATATAGACCAATCTCAAGGTGTTATGAATTCTACCTATAATATATAGACCAATCTCAAGGTGTTGTTATGAATTCTACCTATAATGTATAGACCAATCTCAAGGTGTTGTTATGAATTCTACCTATTATATATAGACCAATCTCAAGGTGTTGTTATGAATTATACCTATAATATATAGACCAATCCTAAGGTGTTGTTATGAATTCTTCCTATAAAAAAGAGACCAACACCAAGGTGTTGTTATGAATTCTACCTATAATATATAGACCAATCTCAAGGTGTTGTTATGAATTCTACCTATAATATATAGACCAATCTCAATGTGTTGTTATGAATTCTACCTATAATATAGACCAATCTCAAGGTGTTATGAATTCTAAGTATAATATATAGACCAATCTCAAGGTGTTGTTATGAATTCTACCTATAATATAGACCAATCTCAAGGTGTTGTTATGAATTCTACCTATAATATATAGACCAATCTCAAGGTGTTGTTATGAATTCTACCTATAATATAGACCAATCTCAAGGTGTTATGAATTCTACCTATAATGTATAGACCAATCTCAAGGTGTTGTTATGAATTCTACCTATAATATATAGACCAATCTCAAGGTGTTGTTATGAATTCTACCTATAATATAGACCAATCTCAAGGTGTTATGAATCCTACCTATAATATAAAGACCAATCCCAAGGTGCTGTTAAGAATTCTACCTATAATATATAGACCAATCTCAAGGTGTTGTTATGAATTCTACCTATAATATAAGACCAATCTCAAGGTGTTGTTATGAATTCTACCTATTATATATAGACCAATCTCAAGGTGTTGTTATGAATTCTACCTATAATATATAGACCATTATCAAGGTGTTGTTATGAATTCTACCTATAATATATAGACCAATCTCAAGGTGTTGTTATGAATTCTCCCTATAATATAAAGACCAATCTCAAGGTGTTGTTATGAATTCTACCTATTTTATATAGACCAATCTCAAGGTGTTGTTATAAATTCTACCTATAATATATAGACCAATCTCAAGGTGTTGTTATGAATTCTACCTATAATATAATGACCATCATCAAGGTGTTATGAATTCTACCTATAATATATAGACCAAACTCAAGGTGTTGTTATGAATTCTACCTATAATATATATACCAATCTCAAGGTGTTGTTATGAATTCTACATATATTATATAGACCAATCTCAAGGTGTTGTTATGAATTCTACCTATAATATATAGATCATTATCAAGGTGTTATGAATTCTACCTATAATATATAGACCAATCTCAAGGTGTTGTTATGAATTCTACCTATAATATATAGACCATTATCAAGGTGTTGTTATGAATTCTACCTATAATATATAGACCAATCTCAAGGTGTTATGAATTCTACCTATAATATATAGACCAATCTCAAGGTGTTGTTATGAATTCTACCTATAATGTATAGACCAATCTCAAGGTGTTGTTATGAATTCTACCTATTATATATAGACCAATCTCAAGGTGTTGTTATGAATTATACCTATAATATATAGACCAATCCTAAGTGTTGTTATGAATTCTTCCTATAAAAAAGAGACCAACCCCAAGGTGTTGTTATGAATTCTACCTATAATATATAGACCAATTCAAGGTGTTGTTATGAATTCTACCTATAATATATTGACCAATCTCAAGGTGTTGTTATGAATTCTACCTATAATATAGACCAATCTCAAGGTGTTATGAATTCTAAGTATAATATATAGACCAATCTCAAGGTGTTGTTATGAATTCTACCTATAATATAGACCAATCTCAAGGTGTTATGAATTCTACCTATAATGTATAGACCAATCTCAAGGTGTTGTTATGAATTCTACCTATAATATATAGACCAATCTCAAGGTGTTGTTATGAATTCTACCTATAATATAGACCAATCTCAAGGTGTTATGAATTCTACCTAAAATATATAGACCAATCTCAAGGTGTTGTTATGAATTCTACCTATAATATATAGACCAATCTCAAGGTGTTGTTATGAATCCTACCTATAATATAAAGACCAATCCCAAGGTGTTGTTAAGAATTCTACCTATAATATATAGACCAATCTCAAGGTGTTATGAATTCTACCTATAATATATAGACCAATCTCAAGGTGTTGTTATGAATTCTACCTATAGTATATAGACCAATCTCAAGGTGTTATGAATTCTACCTATAATATATAGACCAATCTCAAGGTGTTGTTATGAATTCTACCTATAATGTATAGACCAATCTCAAGGTGTTGTTATGAATTCTACCTATTATATATAGACCAATCTCAAGGTGTTGTTATGAATTATACCTATAATATATAGACCAATCCTAAGGTGTTGTTATGAATTCTTCCTATAAAAAAGAGACCAACCCCAAGGTGTTGTAATGAATTCTACCTATAATAAATAGACCATCCCAAGGTGTTGTTATGAATCCTACCTATAATATATAGACCAATCTCAAGGTGTTGTTATGAATCCTACCTATAATGTATAGACCAATCTCAAGGTGTTGTTATGAATTCCACCTATAATATATAGACCAATCACAAGGTGTTGTTATGAATTCTACATATAATATATAGACCAATCTCAAGGTGTTGTTATGAATTGATTGAAGCAATAGAATTAGTATATTTTTGGTACCTTAAGATAAAGTGATAAGACCTGTCATGGTTTGAAAGTGAACCTACCTTTAGTCAAAGGAATAGGTTCAGTAATGGCTTGGAAGGCAGTGACTAATTCTTTGGTATCTGAATTTTCTGAAAGACAATTTCTCCAAATCCTGACGGCACCATCATCTTTAATATAAAACATCATTCATGACATAGGACATGTACAATTAATTTTCTGTTCTTAATAATACTCAATCTATATACACATTAAATATTAACAGCATTACTTCAGAACTCATGTCCATTTTATTTTTTTAAGTCTACAAAAGCTAAATAATTATAAAAGTTTAAATCCATAATGAAGTTCTTCCTCCAAACAGTTATATCCCACATCCAAATGATAAAATGAAATGCTATCATACATCTTTTAGGGACAAAATTATCCTATATTTATACTCACCAGATCCACATAAAAGCAGTGTACTGTCATGTGGATTGACAAATTCCATCGTGGATATCTTAGATGATTTAATATTCTCGTTCTGTATACTACCCATCTTTGTGCCTTGTTCCCAATCCCAAAAGCTGAAAAAATAATCACATCTGTTACAATTTACTTTGACAAACTTGAGTTACATGGGAGCCCCAGGGGATCTCCTGTACAAATTTCTTTACCATGAGGGACCTTGGATCATTTTAGTCCAGTTTATTTCTAACTGTCACAGGGTTCCAAGGAGAAAATACTGTAATTAATATATAATTTGAAGATGGATAATAACATTAACGCACTTTTGGAAACATTATCAGCAAAATATTGGACAATGTTGTTTATTAACCCATAGGCCCAAAAGTATATATACGGTATATATGGCATATTAACAAATCCTAAAAAATTACACGTTTTACGCTTACGCATCAGGTAATTTGCGCATGTCTGTCGATACTTTTGTAGTTTTCAATGTTTTGACAAGTTCTGCACTCAATAAGCATTTATCTGATTAAAAATTTGAAAGAATAATCCAATGGAAATGGGATTTATGGTCAAATAAGACTCATACATGTCATAATGCTTTTTCTTCAATGAATATTTGGAAAGGCAATAATATGTTTAAGGATCGGCGATCAAACTTTAGGGTCAGTTTGGAGGCAGGATACATGCATATATTTTTTTTCACTTTATGTGAATGTCTTGCCTTTAGGACAAAGGAAATATAGAATAAGTCTTTCTCTTAAGATATATAACTATTTACCTTGGGGTTTCCTAACAAAGGGAGCTAACCCATTAATCTTTCTATAAACAAGATATACATTTACCTGATACTCTCTTTATCAGCTACAGCTATGTAGGACTCATACGGATGAAACTTGATCACAGTTGGAATTCCTTGGTTCTTATTTACAAACACCTGATCATCAAGTCTATTAAAACCTGGAAATAATCAAGGGAGATAACTCATTGCCATGAATCAATTTCCATCAATGTTCTCCCAAGTTCTGTTGGCTTATAAATAATGTCTAAATGTATATAAAGGGAACTTCAATCTTTATCAAGGGGTAAGTTTTTAGGTAAATGATGGATAATTAAAATTTCAGGCTTAACAAATCAATAGTCAGTGACATCTATTTTTTTGTGCAGACCATCTTCACTTGTAACTAATTCAAACCTTAAATGTTCACTTTCAACCTTAACGTTTAATTTCATTCAATGTACCACGAAATATAGGTTATGCCACCCTATTGTTATATATTTGGATAGTTTATATCTTAATTCATTCATGCAGTAATTTTTATCTTGATTGCATGAATATTTCACATTGAGAGCCTTAAACCTCAACAATTTTCTAAAGAATTTAACCTTGAGGTTTTATCCCCTATTTTGAGGAAAAAGAAAAGTTGTCACTTAAAAAGTGGATTTGATATACCTGCTTTAATCTGCTCATCTTTGGCTTCATCTCGTATCAAACAGTTCCGTCTAAACTTAAAATCTCTATCATGATGAGATAAACTCTCGGGATCCTTCTCTTCTGACAACCTCATTACAGGTTCGGCGAACCTTTTACAACACCACTGAAAGAACTCGGTAGAAGATATGGAAAACTGCAGAGGATTCTTAGAATCTTCTTGTATAATAGGTTCCTCCATCTAAATAAAATAAAATTATCTTCATGTATACAAAAAATGTGCTTCATAAGTTTAAAAGAATTTGATGTTATGCAGTACAAAAATGATAGAGTTGTCCAAAACTGCATAATTGGCATACTTTTTTTGAATAAAATTAGGTTAAAATATAACTACTTTACACAAAAAGTAAAAAAAAAAAAAAAAACGAACTCCAAGGAAAATTCAAAACGGAAAGTCTCTTATCAAATGGCAAAATCAAAAGCTCAAACACACATCAAACGAATGGAAAACAACAAAGACAGCTAACATTAAGTTTTGTTCTTGAATAAAGACCATTCTTTTTTATTATTAATATCATTATAAGCATTATAACATGAATGTATGTAAAATTAAAGAGATGTGGTGTAATTGTAAATAGGACAACTATTCACCAAAGACCAAAGGACATGGATGAGAACAATCACGGGTCACCATACAGCCTTCAATTCAAATTGGAATCAAACATCCTGATTATAACATTTAACAAAAACAAATATATTACACAGCAACTAAAGACAACCAATAATCTATTTTGTTAACCTATTCACCGTAATCTTCAGTCAACTGTACATGGTTCAGTAACCATGACATAAATACCATGTACATTACGGTTTTTACTTACCCCATTTGGACCTTTGTCAAACAATTTTCGGCTCCGTGAAAACTGAGCAGAATAAGAATATTGCATGCCTGGTGAAGAAAAATCTTTCTTAATCCCCACATTCTCATCTATACCATTATTGGGTGGTGTACTGAAAAAAAAAACAAAAACATGTGTCAATAGGACACCAGCTCACACTATCATGTGTCCTTGTTCAGTGAACTATGAAATCAGGGTCCAAATTATAATTTGCCATAAAATCTTAAAATGTTCACCTCACAATGAAATTGCGTCTATAAGCTTTATGTTAATGCCAGCTTCTTTTCAGTTTTCCTGTGAAGCTTCTACATGGTCTACCTTGTAAGAATAAAGGACCTAGACAGCAAACAGAAGGACACAGATGTTTCCCATATGATTGTCCTTTGAAAAACATGTCCTCTAAAGATATAACAAATATGTTATACATTATCTTGATGATGTCAGTTTTCCCTAAATTTTTGCTGGAAACAAGGACAGTTTTGTGCACGTGTTTGATTTGTCTTTTCTTTAAACAATATATTTATATCTGCATTGGCCATTTTTTTTTACCATATAAAATAAGTAGATGTGGTATGATTAGCAACTTTAGGTCACCATACAGCCTTCAACAATGAGCAAAACCCATATCACATAGTAAGCTTTCAAAGGCCCTGAAAATGATACATGTATGTAAAACAATTCAAAAGAGAAAAGAAACAGCTTGATTCATTCACAAAACAATAAGTGAATAAAATTCTCCGCTGGCCACAGCTTGATACGAGCTCAGAGGTCGAACCCTGAACAGTTGGGGCAAGTATGGACACAACATTCAAGCTTGATACAGCTCTGAATTTGGATTTTGATTAAATATTTGACACAGCATAGGTTTCTGACACAGAATGAATGTGGTTTAAGAAGTTAAAAAATTTTAATTTACCTATTCAAACCATATCATTATTATTTGCTTTTATATATAAATCAGAAATAACCAATTTAAAATGGAAAATTTTAAAGAAAAAAAAAGGAAAAATTTTTTGAACCCCCTTATGATTCATCACCCCCAAACTCAATCCCAGCCTTCCCTTTGTGGTATGGTGCCTTGCAGTACAATTTCAGAGAGATCCATACATTTGAACACAAGTTATTGTCTGGAAACTAAAAGAATGCTTGTTTTTTGGCCCCTTTATGGCCCCAAATTCCTAAACGTTTAGGGCAATTACCCCCAGACTCAAACCCAGCTTTCCCTTTGTGATATGGAACCTTGTAGTACAATTTCATAAAGATTCATACACTTACACAAAAGTTATTGTCCTGAAACTAGAAAAATGCTTGTTTTTTGCCCCTTTTTTGCCCTTAATTCCTAAAATTTTGAGGCAATTACCAAAAAAATCAATCCCAGCCTTCCCACTGTGGTATGGTACCTTGCAGTACAATTTCAGAGATATCCATACACTTGAACACAAGTAATTGTCTGGAAACTAGAAAAATGCTTATTTTTGGCCCCTTTTTCCTAAACGTTTCGGGCAATTACCCCCAAACTCAATTCCAGCTTTCCCTTTGTGATATGGAACCTTGTAGTACAATTTCAGAGAGATCCATACACTTACACACAAGTTATTGTCATGAAACTAGAAAAATGCTTGTTTTTTGCCCCTAATTCCTAAAATTTTGAGGCAATTACCCCCAAAATCAATCCCAGCATTCCCTTTTTGATATGGAACCTTGTGGTACAATGTCAGAGAGATCCATACACTTTTTTTTGTAACTTCCAGACATAACTTGTGTGTAGCTGTATCAAGCTTGAATACATAGTACATAAACCACATGTATCTCTAGTCACTGGAATGGATATGTCTTCTTATTTTAAAACAAGAACTGACATATCTTTTAAGTGCCACAAACGCACAAATGACATAATATAATGTTGTCTAAAACCAAATACTTTGAAGGAAAGATAACAATTGTAATCAAGAGTTTATGACATACACTTACCCTATATGATTCAGATTGGAAGCTCTATTTGAGGGACTGGACGGTGCTGAATGTGGGACTCTGGCATTCTGGATAACTGGTTTTGGTTTTGCACTAGTGGAAGCCTAAAAAATAACAATATTTCTCTAGATATTGTATATCTTTGTAATCAAGGGTCAGAAAACTTTTTGATACTTATTTTTTTTAAACTGTCAATAGTGGCTAAAGTGAATCGATCTAAAGACTTAAAATTGCTAATTTGTCTAAAATCCATCATACTTCTTTCGTTTAAGGGAGAAGAAATATAAATGGAAGTTTCAGGTTGATTATAAAATATACACTGTACAGATTAATGATATGTTTTTCTTCTGTTTGTATAAACCGCAGTGAATCAACATATTTCTAAATTCATATACTTGTTAAAGAGTTTAGATATGACTAATAATTTGACATGAATTTATTCTATATTTTATGACAAAGTATTTAATCTTGTACTTGTGAAAAAGAGAAACACTTGTAAAAATAGGAATTACACACTAAATACAAGCATGCTCCATTTGTGTAAAACTCTTGCTTCTACAAATTTGAATTACTACTTTTAATTTCTAAAGCTATATTGTTGAAAGCCTATCAGGATATAGTGATTGATAAAAACAAGAGTGCACACGCTGAAATGTCTCGCCTTCTTTACTAATCATTGATATTATGTTGATAGTCCTAAATATAAAGCTTTATTACAACTGTCATATAAACTTAACATTAACCAAGAAAACTAAACATTGACCAATGAACCATGAAAATGAGGTCAAGGTCAGATGAACCATGCTAGGCAGGCATGTACAGCTAACAATTCTTCCATACAACAAATATAGTTGACCTATTGCTTAAAGTTTAAGAAAACAGACCAAAACACAAAAACTTAACACTGAGCAATGAACTGTGAAAATGTGGTCAAGGTCAAATAAAACCTGCGCAACTGACATAAAGATCATAAAATATTTCCATACACCAAATATAGTTGACCTATTGCATATAGTATTAGAAAAAAAGACCAAAACTCAAAATCTTAACTTTGACCACTGAACCATAAAAATGAGGTCAAGGTCAAATGACACCTGCCAGCTAGACATGTACACCTTACAATCATTCCATACACCAAATATAGTAGACCTATTGCAGAAAAACAGACCAAAACACAAAAACTTAACTATAACCACTGAACCATGAAAATGAGGTCAAGGTCAGATGACACCTGCCAGTTGGACATGTACAACTTACAGTCCTTCCATACCCCGAATATACTTGACCTATTGCTTATAGTATCTGAGATATGGACTTGACCACCAAAACTTAACCTTGTTCACTGATCCATGAAATGAGGTCGAGGTCAAGTGAAAACTGTCTGACGGGCATGAGGACCTTGCAAGGTACGCATATACAAAATATAGTTATCCTACTACTTATAATAAGAGAGAATTTAACATTACAAAAAATGTTAACTTTTTTTTCAGGTAGTCACTGAACCATGAAAATGAGGTCAAGGACATTGGATATGTGACTGACGGAAACTTCGTAACATGAGGCATCCATATACAAAGTATGAAGCATCCAGGTCTTCCACCTTCTAAAATATTAAGCTTTTAAGAAGTTAGCTAACGCCGCCGCCGCCGGATCACTATCCCTATGTCGAGCTTTCTGCGACTTTTGTCGCAGGCTCGACAAAAATATATATCATTTCTTACAAAATGGTGCAGAAAATGCAGCTAAATAATTCTATTTTTAGATTCTTAGATTTTACCAAAATTGGGAATTTCTAAATTTACAAATGAGACATGACCACTAAATAAACAATTTTCTCTTTTTTTACCATTATTATTATTTTTAAGTTTGTCAAATGATTCAAAATATTTACTATATGTACTTGTCTCAATTTTGCTGATGTACTATGGACTTACTTACTATGAAGATTTATATATGTACCTTTTGCCAATAAACACATTACAAAAAAAAAAATAAACGAATGAGACATGACCACTAAATTTACAAATGAGACATGACCACTAAATATGACTGCTTCATGACCCTCATTTGTATGTTTGATTCCAATTTATTTTCCTTTTTATCTGAAACTTTAACAGCAAATGAAACAAGCATTCTGAGAGTATTGCATGGCAATACATAGTCCCCTACCGGTTAAAAATTCATTGTACTGGAACAAAATGCTAATTTGATCTATTATTTGTCATGGTGTAAACTATACAACAAATATTAAGTCAATATCTTCAAGCATGACGAAAAAAAGTGCAGAAAACTGATTAATTTAAGTGAATTTTCTAAGTCCAAGGACCATAACTAAGCAAAAAATCATCAGACCGGTTAAAAATTCGAAATTGATCTGAAACTTGTCATGATAAAACTATATACCAATTATCAAATCTATATCTTTAAGCATGACGAAAAAAGTGCGGAAAACTGATTATTTGAGTGAATTTTCTAAGTCCAAGGACCATAACTCTGCACAAAATCATAACTTGATCTGTAACTTGTCATGATAAAACAATATACAAATATCAAATCAATATCTTCAAGCACGTAGAAAAAAAGTGTGGAAAACTGATTGCAGGACTGACGGATGGACAGACAGACGGACAGACAGACAAACAGACACAGACAGACGGACGGTGTGCAAACCTAAAGTTCCCTTCGACTTCGTCGGTAGAGGACTAATAAAAAACAATTCATAAGCCTTAGTAAATAAGTTGACAAGATCATATACACAAGTTTAAGACCGAAAGACTTGATCAATTTCTTATTCTAACACAATTTCTAAGTAACAATTTACCATCCAATCCATAATTGACATGTCTCGAGCCGCCATATTGAACATGTTGAATTGTTGGGATCCACAAATGTTCGATTAATACAACATAATTAAAAATAAAACATCACCTACCTCAAAAACAGTGTTTAATTAGATATGATCCAAATTTGAATTGTACGTAAGTAACAGAATTACTTTCAGCATGTTCAGTTTGAAACTTTCCATTTCTACAACGTCAAGTTTTGACATGACGTTTATGCACCGAATGTTTCACAGAGTTTGATTTTATCTGATGTGCATGTCATATGTGTTTTATAATATAATGCAATAGAGTCGCGGTAACAGTATTGAAGTTGAAGAGTTGCAGCTGTCAATTTTGAATTTGATGGTGGCAAATAGCCATTTTATTGACTCCACTAAGCATCGCCAGCTATACTGCATTTGTAAAACCCCTAATTAACAGCAGTAAATCTTCAACTACAGTACTGTTATTACTTAAATACAACCTATGAAATAGATACCAACCTTTAATTTAATAGAGTTGACTATGTATTTGACAACCTCTCGAACCTGAGGGTTTGGATCTGCTGTAAGACTAAGTAAAGTTTTCCATAGATTGGTATAGATTGTACTACAACCATAACCAAGATTACTGTTTGAAGAATTCCGTCTGAGAGTGCTTGTATCAGTACTAGAACCACTATCAACTGATGCCACAGAACTGGACTGGACAATGCCTAATAAATGACTAGAGCTGGCTACAACAAAAAAACAAAACATCTCAATACCACAAAAGGTCTACATTTTTTTATAAAACTGGTCAGATTTTTAAAGTTTATCTACACTAACAGCTTATGTCACAAAAAATACTGTCTTCATTCATGGCAGCAATCACTTTGTTTTATCATTGATATAATTAAAATATCTGGTGATGTTTTCAGGCTGTCACATGATTCATAATAAATTACTTTCTATAGAAACATCAACAGAAAACTATGTTACTAATGTTTTCACAGATATGTTGTAACAGAAAATGTAAGATTTAAGACCAACTTGGCCCTAAATTTAAATGTTCTTTCAATTTTTATTATTATCCAGAATAGAAAGTTTAATGTATGCACTTTAATAAAAAAAAAAACAATTCGTATAAAAAAGGCAATACACTTTCTTTAACCATAATCATATCACATTTGTCACATTTATTCCTTAGGCATGACAGAAAAAAGTATAGAAAACTGATCTTTTCAAGCAATTTTCTTTGTCCAAAGGTTACAACTTCTGAAAATAACTGTTAAGTAAGTATGTAAGTAAATTTTAATTAAAGACAGCATTTATGTACACAATGGACCACAATTTCAGCTAAAATCGCTCAACCAGAACAAAACAGAACTCTTGATCTGTAACTTCTTGATATAAACAAATACATATAATCAACTGAATAAGGCATTACAAAAACAGCCGCAAATTGAGGGGGTCAAAGAATTTTCTATTTCCAAAAGCCACAATTTTTGTAAAAATTGTTAATCTGCAATAAATAGGTGATTAAACTAAAACTCAATCAGTAACTTCTTTATGATATGTCTATATACCATATATCTAATCAATAGATAGATAGAAGCGTCAAACAAAAGAAAATATGAAATTTTACAAGACAGACGACTGACAGTGTGCAAACCTTTTAGTCCCCTTTGGATTCACAGACATGAGACTAATAAATATAAATGAAAGTACTAATCTTATCTATAAAAATAATAATTGCTAATTATATCTATAAAAAAATAATACTCACTAATTATGTTGATTAAAATAACAATCACAATGAAAGTAATAAACAAATAAATACAAAAGTATGCAAAGAAGAAAAGGAAAGATGCTAAGCTGTTAACCAAAAAAGTATCTAAATAAAAAATTTCCTAAAATTCCAATGAAAAGAATAATAAACTGTCTACACACAGAAATGTCTCGTCTGTATGTAATTTTGATAGTAAAATGATGATTTCAAAAGATAATACTCTAACAAAACATCAAAAGTCAATGAACCATGACTGAAATAAAAGTTTAAAAGTCAATAGGCCATGGATGACTAAAAGGGGGAGGTGGGTATAGGCCAAATATTCTCCATGGATATGTGTTAATGCTGATACAACTGCATATCAAATATCATTGACTTTCCAATAGTGGTTTCTCTTATACTGACCTAATTACAAAATTCCAACATTTAGAATAAGCAAAAGTTTCCGTCAATAGACCATGACTGACAAGGCAAGTTACCATGGAAAAGTGATAAGTAAATGCTCCTTCAACTGCATACCAATTATCAATGGTTAACCATAAAAGGTCCCCTTTAAACTGAAATAATCACAAACTTTAAAAAAAATTGTTGACACCGAGGTGTAGCAGACAAAAGTGACGCCTAAGTCTCATATTTGCGACTTTGTCAAGTCAATACAACAAAACTATAAACAAAATACATGTAGAAATAAAGGCACTAAAAGTGCAGAAATTATTTTAACATGCCTTTAAAAAGAAAACACCATAAAATCATGAGAGAACTGATCTACAGATGTTAGATTATGATCAGATGACAATTATCGGTGTTGTTGGTATAATACACCACAAAGATTTACAGCTTAACTAAGCATACTTGAAGTATGAATTCATAAATTTGCTTATTTGTTACACGTTAGGTAAAACATGTAGTCTTTATTGCCTCTTGAAAATAGAAAAATTACCTGGTAAAAAAATTCCTCCAAGATACCAGGCTTACTATTAAATATGCCAGGAGTGCAATACATTTATATATTACCCATTAGGTGGTCTAAACAAAGCATTTGCAATCCCAAATCAATTTGAAATTAATAAACTGTTGACACAGAGATATGTCTCGCCTGTTTTGTAATTATGATAGTATAATGCAAATGTTGTAATCAAAATGGAAATATCTAAATATGTAAACTAAGCAAATCATTCAAAGTCAATGAAAAACATGACTAAAGGTGCACAGCCAAATAACATCCATGGAAATGACGAATGCAAATGCCTTTTAACAGCATACCAAATACCATTGACTTATCATAAGTCGTTCCCTTTAAACAAACCTAAACACAAACTTTAACTTGTAAACTATGTAAAAGTTTCAAAGTCAATGAACTATGATGAGGGGATGGCGTTGTATAATCTCCATGGAAATAAAACTTGCAAATGCTAATACATCTTCATACAAAATATCATTGACTTAATATTAGTGGTTCATCTTAAACTGGTCTAATCACAAACTTTAACATGTGAACTATGTTGTCTCATTGGCACTCATACCACATCTTCCTATATCTATATGCATAACTTTTTAAGTCAATAGACCATGATTGGAGGAGCAGGGCCAAATAATCTCCATGGAAATGAGATGTGCTAATGCTAATACACCTGCATCAAATATCAATAACCTAACAATAAAGGTTCCCCTTAAACTGACCTAATCATAAACTAATACATGTGACAGAAAAGTTCAAAGTAAATATATCATGTCTGAGGGAGCTGCACCAAACAATCTCCATGGAAATGAGATGTGCCAATGCTTTTACAACTGCATACCAAATATCATAGATTTACCACTAATTGTTTCCCTTTACTGACCTTATCAGAGCCAAATAACCTCCATTGGAAAGAGAAAGGCAAACACATATCTAACAGCATACCAAATACCATTGACTTATCATAATTCGTTCCCTTTAAACAAACCTAAACACAAACTTTGACATAAAAACTATGCAACACATTCAAAGTTAAAAGACCATAACTAAGGGAGCGGGACCAATTAATCTCCATGGAAATGAGATGAGGTAAAGCTTGTACAACTGTGTACCAAATATCATTTACCTACCACTTATGGTTCCCCATAACCTGACCTCATCACAAACTGATACATGTAAACTAAGCAAAAGTTTCTAAGTCAATAGACCATGACTGAGGGGGCAGGGTCAAATAATCTCCATGTAAAAGAGATGTGTTAATGCTAATACAACTGCACATAAATATCATTGACCTAACACTAGTGATTCCCCATAAACTGACTTATCACAAACTAATACATTGTAGCTGCTGCTGACACCGGAAACATCACGCATGAGTCTCTTTTTTTTACTTTGTTTACGCAAGACAAAAAGCATATAAAACCAAAAATTCCCCAAAATTGTGTAACATCAAGCTACAGCCTTCTTTTATGGGAATTTTATACTTTCATAGTCAATTTATTAATCAGTCCATTTTATTCCCCATATAACCTTCAGCAGAAATGTGATGGACATATTTTATACTGATCCAAACTCCCAGACAAAGTAATAAACATTTACACATTCACACAATTGCCTAGAAAAATTAGTTTATCAGGTTTATTTCAAATAAGTATGTAAAATATCGGCCAACAGTATTAATCGTTATATATACCCTGAAAAAATTAAATATATATTCTAAAAGACTAATTATTTCTGTATATTATGTTCAACTTGTAGATCTAAAACAGGTTAACACTTTGTTTTGTATACACAAGTTAGATATTGACAGTTAGAAGTTTAAATAGCAACCCAGGTAAAATGGTTTAGCAGAAGGTGAAAGGCTTACATGAGTTTACAAGACCTTTAAAACTGCTCCGTGATGTACTCTTTTTCATACCAGTAAATGGTTCTGAAATAAAATGGCAATTGCATGTGTAGCTAGGATGGGGAAGGGTAATTAGGTAATGCTGGAGAGACAATTTTTAATTCTAACATAAGTTCCTTTTTTGTAAATCGCCAGAAATAAAATTAACCTTCAAGGAAAGTATATATAAGTGATATATATCGATGAAGATTGCTCCTTTTTGCTTGCAAGCAAACATCAACATACAATGTTTTCTTAGTGTCTGAGGAAAGTAAAAGTTGCAACACATCAAATTATGTCTTAAACTATTTAAAAAATGAATTCATATGTACTATGATACAAAATAATACAGTGTTTAAGTAATGTTTAATGTTAGAAATGATAAAAAGACATGTTAACAAACTAAAATAGAAATATTCTGAACATTTTATTTACTGTTATCATGGTTATTGTAAACTTGCAAGTTATGTGAAAGGATAAGAAATAGGGAATCACAAGAAAACATCATTTACACATATATTAACTCTATTAACATAATTTGTCTTTGATCTTGCTGTGTGATCAAGCTTCCATATCAAGCTGCTGATCGCCTGAGATGGATTTTCCCAGTAAAGTAGAGTGAGAACGCAATGACATCAAAAGCTAACGTCATTGACATTGTCTTGTAAAATAGTGATAACCAGATTATCTATGGTCTTTCTAGAACAAAAGATAATCATTAATTAAGTCAAAATTAAACAATGGAAGTAACACTATCCAATTTATATAGTTAGAGGAGAGTTTTCTTTATTTAGCGAATTCTAAATGTATTTTTTAATAAAAAAGTTCAGCCAATTTAAACAAACTTCCCTCTTTTTTACAATATTTATTCCTAACAATATCCAATGATAAAATTCTGATGTTTTCTGGTGAGGGAAAAATGTGAAGGAAATAATTACCAGACTGCCCAGTAACAATATTCCACCCACCAGAAGTTTCAGCAGCCACAACAGGTGCTCCTTTCTCTTTCTTCTTCTCGTCCTCTAAATGCTGGGCAGCAACGGCAGTAAACTGACTTTCAAACTGGGCAACCAAGGCAGAAAAGGCAACTACTAGTTCCTGAAACACAAAGTAAACTGGCTATTAACTGATACAAAAGGTAATTGTCCATTCCTATAAAAAAAAAACTTCAAAGTTTGTTTCAAAGAAGGTATGTAAAACAAATTGTGATATGATATTTCACATTAGTCTTTTGAAACAGTACTGCTAATACATTTATATAGTTCAAAACAAAACCTAACAAACCTTTCTAACTAAAGGACTTCCATCTTGTGCTATATTAGAGAAAGTCATTCCAACACTGAGATCTATGTTGTTAGCATGGTCTGTTCTTTCTGTATTACAAGCAATAAATGTCCCCAAGGCAAACACAGCTGCTGCTCGCACCTGTAAAAATGAAATATAATAGCTCACACTTACGCTATTGGCCAAATCATATTATATCATAGTCACAATTATCCTGAAGGCTAGATCAGCAATAAGTTCCCTCAAAAATGTTGTTGAAACCAAAAAATAACCAAAGAAGCAACAGTTTTAAAGCTTAATCTTTAAGGACAAATCAGAGTACTTACCTATATTAAACATGAGACAAATTTCAGTAAAACAAATAAACTGTAAATTCAGAAATGTTTTCATTATTACAAGGCACTTTTATTACAAGGCATAATTAAAGCGCATTATATAACACTACAATTACTCTAAGCGTTTTACATGCTTAAATAAATTGCTTCGCCTAGCGCAGCTGGATACAACTGCAGAGGTCCAACCCTGAACAGTTGGGGCAAAAATGGACACAATATTCACATTTGATAAAGGTCTGAATTTGGATTGTAATTAAATATTTGACACATAATAGGATTCTGACACAGAATAACTGTAGTCAAAGAACTTAGAATTGGTTATATGATTTGAATTCATATTCAATTTTTTGCTTTTGTGCAATACACTATGCTGTTGCGAATTAACCTACCCCTCCCCCCCCCCCAAAAAAAAACTTTTTTTAACCCCCACCTTTCTTTTTCAAAAAATTTTTTTTTTACCCCCCACCACCAATTTTTTTTTAACCTTCCCACCCCCCCCCTATTTTCCAAAAAAAAAAAAATCCTTCCCTCAAGACATGGTCATAATCTCAATTCAAATTTCCAATGGAGTTTGCAACCATAATAACCCATTTAAATACATCATTACAGTCTTAAAATAGAAAATGACATACATAATCATAGCTAAAATTAATTTACCTTAATCAACATTTTTAAAATTATTAAAATAGTAACTTCTAAAAATGAATTGACAGCTAATCACCTCAAGACAATACAACACATAATTTAAAAGCAGTGTAAGGGAGGTAATTCAAAGTTGTGTTTAAATTACCTCCCTTACACTGTAATTTGTACTTAAGTAATTGTCCATTAACCAGGACACCCTTGTTTTTTCTCACTTTTTTGCCCCTAATTCCTCAACAGTTTCAGCCATAACCCCCAAAGCCAATCCTAACCATCCCTTTGTGGTATGGAAACTTGTGGTATAATTTCAGAGAGATCCATACACTGTTCCACAAGTTATTGTCATGAAACTAGAAAAATGCTTATTTGGGCCCCTTTTTGGCCCCTAATTCCTAAACTGTTCGGACCATAACCCCCAAAATCAATCCCAACCTTCCTTTTGTGGTTATAAACCTTATATTTAAATTTCATAGATTTCTATTTACTAATACTAAAGTTATTGTCTGGAAACCAAATGACTTCAGACAACGTGATACCAATATACATTTGTGGTCGTATAAAAATATACACAAATTCGTACATACACGAAACTACAAAGTATAAAATATGTTTAAAAGCATACAAAATCAAATCAAATATAGAAAAATTACATTTACTATTTTGATTGTTTAAAAAATCTACACGAATGTGCATTAAGGTAGCTGGGGTGTCTAAATGTGCAAAGATAGATTTTTCCTAAACTTCTGTAAAAGACTTTTGGACTAATGTACTTTCAAATTTCAATATATAAACTGGGAGTTACGGACCTTGTTTTTTCGATTAAATTCATTGAAATTCATGAAATCACAGATACTGTATATAGGTTATATAGGTTATATAGGGGAAACTTGATTTTTCCTTATCGAGGACACATTAAATGATAGAATTGATCAAAATTCAATAAGAGAATGGATTTTCATAAACACTTCCGAAATATCAAATAACTAGAGGCTCTCAAGAGCCTGTGTCGCTCACCTGATTCTACTTTGGTTTTGGAAATCATGTAAAAATAGATTAAAATCATAACAGATACCCTAATAATGAGTAAAGCCAAATTTGGTTTAATATTGCCCTGTAATTTAATATTATATTCTGGTGGCCATCTTGAACAGTAAATCAGCAACAAAGTAGCAACACTTCATCAGCACCTCATAAGAAACATTTATGCCATGTTTGGTTTCATTCCATTCAGTGCACCTCTAGAAGAAGCATTTGTATGTATTTCCCATAGGGTTTTATGTTAATGAAATTCCCCCGCTGGCGGCCATCGTGGATGAAGGATAAGCTTCAAAGTAACAACACTTGGTCAGAACTTCATAAGGAACATTCATGCCATGTTTGGTTTCATTCCATTTAGTGGTTTTCTAAAAGAAGACATCTGTGTGTATTTCCCATAGGGTCCTATGTTAAACTAAGTCCCTCGCTGGCGGCCATCTTGGATAATGGATCGGCTTCAAAGTAACAACACTTGGTCAGCACCTCGAAAGGAGTATTCATGCCATGTTTGGTTTCATTCCATTCAGTGGTTCTCTAAAAGAAGACATTTGTTTGTATTTCCCATAGGGTCCTATGTTAAACTAAGTCCCCCTCTGGCGGCCATCTTGGATTATGGATCAGCTTCAAAGTAACAACACTTGGTCAGCTCCTCATAAGGAACATTCATGCAATGTTTGGTTTCATTCTATTCAGTGGTTCTCTAAAAGAAGACATATGTAAATATTTCACATAGGGTCCTATGTTAAACAATGTCCCCCGCTGGCGGCCATCTTGGATTATGGATCGTCTTCAAAGTAACAACACTTGGTCAGCACCTTGTAAGGAACATTCATGCTATGTTTTGTTACATTCCATTCAGTGGTTCTCTAAAAGAAGTCATTTGTATGCATTTCCCATAGGGTCCTATGTTAAACTAAGTCCCCTCGCTGGCGGCCATCTTGGATGATGGATCGGCTAGAAAGTAACAACACTTGGTCAGCACCTCATAAGGAACATTCATGCCATGTTTGGTTTCATTCCATTTAGTGGTTCTCTAAAAGAAGCCATTTTATGTATTTCCCATAGGGTCCTATGTTAATCTAAGTCCCCTGCTGGCGGCCATCTTGGATGATGGATCGACTTCAAAGTAACAACACTTGGTCAGCACCTCATAAGGAACATTCATGCCATGTTTGGTTTCATTCCGTTCAGTGGTTCTCTAAAAGAAGACATTTGTATGTATTTCCCATAGGGTCCTATGTTAAACTAAGTCCCCCACTGGCGGCCATCTTGGATGATGGATCGGCTTCAAAGTAACAACACTTGGTCAGCACCTCTAAAGGAACATTCATGCCATGTTTGGTTTCATTCCGTTCAGTGGTTCTCTAAAAGAAGACATATGTATTTCCCATAGGGTCCTATGTTAAACTAAGTCCCCCGCTGAGAGGCCATCTTGGAATATGGATCGGCTTCAAAGTAACAACACTTGGTCAGCACCTCATAAAGAACATTCATGCCATGTTTGATTTCATTCCATTCAGTGGTTCTCTAGAAGAAATCATTTGTATGCATTTCCCATGGGGTCCTATGTTAGACTAAGTCCCTCACTGGCGGCCATTTTGGATGATGGAACGGCTACAAAGTAACAACACTTGGTCAGCACCTTGTAAGGAACATTCATGCTATGTTTTGTTACATTCCATTCAGTGGTTCTCTAAAAGAAGTCATTTGTATGCATTTCCCATAGGGTCCTATGTTAAACTAAGTCCCCCGCTGGCGGCCATCTTGGATGATGGATCGGCTACAAAGTAACAACACTTGGTCAGCACCTCATAAGGAACATTCATGCCATGTTTAGTTTCATTCCATTCAGTGGTTCTCTAGAAGAAGTTCAAAATGTAAAAAGTTAACGACGACGACGGACGCCAAGTGATGAGAAAAGCTCACTTGGCCCTTCGGGCCAGGTGAGCTAAAAATAGAGGGTCATGAGCCTTATTTTCTTGGAAAATCAAAAAAACACAAATTGTCCTATAAAATTCAGTATAATTATCTGCCCTTGATTTTAAAAGGGATTTTTTTTCTGAAAATTTTTAATACACATAAGCAGTGTTCTCCCCAGACCATTAAAGGACCACGGGCCCGCGATGTATATTTTTTTACCGCGGTGGTATCGTTCTTACCGCGATGTATAATTTTTCTCCGTGGTGCTAAAATTTTCAGTTAAAAAATCGTAAATCGGTAAAAAAGTGTTAAACGACTTGTTTAATCTTTTCCGTGTGGTATAAAATTCCAGGTGAAATTTGACCAGTTCAAACCAGTTCAACACGGATTGTTTACACCACGTGATCGATTTACCTTTATGAGGTTAACCTTTGTTGATTGGATTTAATCGATGTAATTAACACTTTTTACATGATTCTTTCGTGTTTTAATTTAGAAATCATAACTTTATGATCATAGATAACTATTTTAAGGCTTCACTCACCACCTGACAAGTCGGCAAATACTTTGTACACAAACCGTGTGACCCGATAGTTGTACACACGACGGTACATATTTTGTACATTATAAAGTTAGCTCAATACTTATATTATAGTTTTATATGTCTCTGATTAAACCATGGCCAAAATTATCTTTAATTATGACATAACATAGTTATTGCATGATATTCCGGTTTCAAACTGTCAACAAGTAATTCAAAGGGGAAGGATCCCATGACCCAGTTAGTTCATGTAGAATATTCAAATTTATTTACAATTAACTGCAATCTATTCTATTTTATAAATAAAATGCATGACTGTACCTTCAAACTGGATATCTATATCCATATGATCATTAATGAATAACAAAAGTGATCTTGCAATTTTAATCCATAAGCACATGTTAAATCTATTTATATCTACTTCCTGTCATTTAGGCGGGAAAATAGGGAGACTTTGTTGTTGACATTGAATATGTTACTTATAGATCTATAGACCTAAGATAAATTTATAGATTTAGGAATTCTTTTTAAATGGATCATGACAAATAAAGATTTAGATTTCAGTGCAGTATTAAGTCTGTATCTATGTTTGATCATCACCAAAGACAAGAAAGGTTAATATTTACATGTACATGAAATCTATGGCAAAATGTTTAAAAATTTGTGAAAAATTTCTTTTTATTAAAATTTAAGATAGAAACTGGTTCAAATTATAACACAATTTTGTTCTTGTTAATTTTATATCTCCTTATGACAGGAATCCTTTCACATACAACAACTTTCTTTCTAGAAACTAGAAAGTATTTTTAAATTGAACATTTTTGTTCTCTTTTGAATCTGGGAACAGTATATCTAACAATATATATGTTCCTGTTTGAATGATATTTTATTTTTATTGATCATGGATAAAAGATTTAATTACTTTAAATTTAGATGAATATTATGTAATGAATCATGTTTTATTTATTTTCAAAAAATATTAAAAAGAATACAAACTGTTTTATTGATCTTTTTAACCAATAATATTCTGACATAACACAGTACCACAGTATTAAAACAAAACAAGAGACATAAAAACTGCAGTAACTAGAAATATAGCGACGCCACGCTACACAACTGATTGTATGAATCATTTCACCAAGCTGTTCACACGTGTTACCCTGGTGCTATCCAAAAATCCTGGGGAGAACACTGCACATAAGGACACTTAATTTTTGATAGTTTAATCTTTAAATAATCTAGATTTAGATTTTTTGTTGTAGATTGAATAATACTTGGTAAAATATTTTTAAACAAGAAAAGTATTTTTGCAACATGCTCAAAAGGGATGCTCAAGAAAAAGACACGGGATCTACCTTAAATATTGTTGTTTCAGAAAATACTGCATAAAAATAACACTATCAAATTTTTAAAGCAAATCTATGTGAAACTAATCCCGTTGCAATTTTCACAGTAAAAAAAACAGCACATAAATTTCTGGATTTTCAATAACAAATTTCGGTGTAATAAAGAGTAATGCCTTCTTTTTGAATAGATTGACCTTCACTATTGTGAACAATCATACCTCAGGGGCATCATCTTCCAGTAGTTTATACAACTTCTCATGAGCTATATCTCTTACTCCACACCATCTAGCATTGTCAAACTGTGTCCAGACCTGTAAAAATAGCAATTATTGTCAAACTGTTTACATAAAATTGAGAATGGAAATGGGGAATGTGTCAAAGAGACAACGACCCGACCATAGAGCAGACAACAGCCAAAGGCCACCAATGGGTCTTCAATACCTGGAAAAATACCAAGATTCACATTTGTACAAGTCATTGAATTTCTTGCCAAGACAACCATAAAATTTATGCTATAGCTTGATCATTTAAAAAAAATAGCTTAAATTTTCTCCACAATAAATGTAAATAGATTAACAAAAATAGTGAATTCTAATGAGAGGGAACAATGGAAGAACTTACCTTATAAAAATTGAGAGCTAATCACCGACAACATAAAACTTACTTTGACATGACAGACAGCAGCTAACTACAGCTGACTTAGAATTTTCCTAGCAATGACAGAGAGCTTAAAAGTGATTATTTAGACCTTACCCTTCTTAAACATAAAGTTAACTACAGCTGACTTGGAACTTATCTTGGAATGACATAGAGCTTACAAGTGACTATTTAGACCATACCATGCTAAAACATAGACTTAACAACAGCTGACCTAGAACTTACCTTGCAATGACACAGATACCTTACAACTCACAATCAATAAAGGCTTAAAGCTGCTGCATTAAAACTTACCTTTCCAAGACAGAGAGCTAACCACTGACGTAATGATGAATTTAGATCACATAGTTGTTCTAAAGATAGGGCTATCAAATTTCCTTGTAGAGCTGCTTCCTGTAATAAAATAGTATAATGAAAAGAATTAGTTAAGTCACACAATATTTCACCTGGTTAATATAGCTAAGAAAACTTGTATTGCTGTGTTTTTGTTTATTCTACATTGGCTAGAGGTATAGGGGGAGGGTTGAGATCTCACAAAACATGTTTAACCCATCTGCATGTTTGCGCCTGTCCCAAGTCAGGAGCCTCTGGCCTTTGTTAGTCTTATATGTTTTTTTAATTTTAGTTCATTTATATATTTCGGAGTTTAGTGTGACGTCCATTTTACTGAACTAATACACATTTTTGTTTAAGGGGCCAGCTGAAGCCCGCCTCCGGGTGCGGGATTTTCTCTCTGTGTTGAAGACCCATTGGTGGCCTTGGGCTGTTTTCTGCTCTTTGGTCGGATTGTTGTCTCTTTGACACATTCCCCATTTCCATTCTCAATTTTATTGACCAGTAATATTGAGAACTTCAAAGTGGGCATACCTTCCTAACTAAATTTCATATTTTCTATTTTAGGATGAAGAGTAATATATAAAACACAGAGATATGTCTCGCATGTATGTAATTTTGATATAAATTTGCAAATGTTGAAATTAAAATACTGTGGATTCATTTATTTTCATGGGTACAAACTTTCGTGGATTGATAAAAACCTGCATTTTCGTGGATATTTAATTTCGTGGTTTTGCCAAAATCTGCATACAACCCTAAAGAAAATTTGCAGTTCGTTGAACATTTGAATTCGTGGTTCACCTGTACCCACAAAATCCACGAAAATTGGTATCCAACGAATAAAAATGAATCCACAGTAGCAATAATTAAACATGTAAATTGTGCAAAATTTTCAATCAATGAACCACGACTGAGGGTATTCAAAGGGCCAAATAATCCCTATGGAGATGAGATGTGCCAATGATAATACAACTACATACCAAATATCATTATCTTATCATATGTGGGTCTTCTCAAACTGACCTAATCACTAACTTTAACATGTAAACTATGCAAAAGTGTTTAGTCAATTAACCATGACTGCGTTGGGGGGAGGCCAAATAATCTCTTTGGAAATGAGAGGTGTCAATGCTTACACAACTATATACCAAGTATCATTGATTTATCATTAGTGGTTCACCTTAAACTGACCTAATCACAAACATTAACAAATTGTTGACTCTGCCAATGATGAAAACAGCATAATTAAGACTCGCTTTTTTACTCAATCAAGGTGAGACGAAAACCTCTTTATAGTGCTTAAAAACAATATCCTCAAAGGCTTTAAAAAGTTGTCAGTTATGTAAGATTTTGCAGATAAGAATATGTGGAATTATAAAGAGACGGAGGATACCAAGACGATATCCAAAATTTATAAGTTGAAGAAAAAATGACTTTGGCATGGCAAATAATTTAAAATAAAGAATAGAGGATTAAATCCACAAAACGCTACATAGAAAACTAAAGTCTGAGCAACTTAACATTCTAACATTGGAGACAGCAAGCCTTAGTCAAAATACCCTCTTGTGAATGGCAAAAAATAAAATAAAATATAAATAAAGTTCTGAACTAACAGGACTTTCATAAATAGACAAGAAGTTTTCTATATACAGCTGTCTCTTCATTAACATACCTGTCCCTGTCTGTATTCATTTACTATCATAGCTAAAACAAAAGCTGCCATAGTTCTATGTTCTGCCTGTAAAATATGATATTTACATTATGAAAACTTAAAAGATGTATTTTTTCAATTTACCAGTCTTTTTCAAAGGGAATCATTTTTAAAACTGTTCAGTCGGTTATTGCAACTATATGGATTCTATGCAACATATAACTTTTGTCAGTAGAAATGATGCCAGGAATTTTATTTCCAGTGCACTATTTTTCACACTTGTTAAGTTACACAAATATAGCATAAATGACTAACCAGAATAATTGACTTTACGGTTACCTATAATTATTTACATCCACTTCATTTGAACTTGGGTGAATAGTTGTCTCATTGGCAATCATACCACATCTCCCTATTCTTATATAGTTCTTCTATTTTGCCATAATATAATTATTGTCATAAGTTATTGGAAAATTCCAAAATTTCTTAAAGCTACTTCTGTTCATAAAATTCAATAAGGGTTAATACTATATGTCATTGTGGTGTAAAAACTGATGAAAACACAAAAAGATCCAAAGACCGCATTCCCAAGAATTCTTTGACCTTTAAACCAATGGACAACAAAAATGAATCAAAGTAACTACTTACAGGCATGTATGGATCAGACAAAACAGAAAGGAAATATTTATGTCCATTATCTTTGACTAAATCTGCCTGGCAAGACTGAAATGTAAAAGTATAGTATAGATTAATAAGACAGGAAATATTTATGTCCATTATCTTTGACTAAATCTGCCTGGCAAGACTGAAATGTAAAAGTACAGATCAGACAAAACAGACAGGAAATATTTATGTCCATTATCTTTGACTAAATCTGCCTGGCAAGACTGAAATGTAAAAGTATAGTACAGATTATTCAGGATATACTTTGGTGTCTTTGACAAGACTGAAATTAAGAATAGACATCAGATAATTTTGAGGATTGATGTGTTTTGAATATAACACAATGAGAGACATTTCAATGTGCTGTGTTCTCCCCAGGACCTTATAGCATCATGGTGCTATCTGAGTAGATGTTATAATAGAATGTGTCATAAATGTATAGGTACTGCAGTTATTTAAGTGAAACAATGCCATTTCAATTCCCACTGTGCTTTTCAAATATACTGGGGAGAATATTGCTATATATATATATAGATAAGTCAGGTCTTATATAGCTATTTGCCAATCATTCCAATATTCTTTAATTCCCTTAAGTTACAAGTCATAGTTGTCAACTCACATGATATTCGTGTGTAATGCACGCTTTTTCAATGGTTTACACACGAAGATTTTGCCATATGGCGTGTGCACGCTTTTCACCACTTTACAAGCTATTACGCTTTTTCTTTGTTTTAATTTTTTGGTCGTTAGTGATATCACGATTCTCAGATTTTGACATCATTAGCGTTAAATACCGAAAATTTCGAAGTATTCGTTGGGTTGTATTGTTTATTTTTCGATATGTACGAACAACAAAAGCCCTTCAGGTAAATTTATGAACAGTTTTTAAGGGTTTGTGACTTTCTTTCTTTCAAATTCACTTTGGGGAAATGTCCAGCAGAAAGAGATCACTTTCTGGACTTGTAACATCGTCTCTAAGAGCCGAGTGCTAAGTGAAAACGATACGTGTGTAAATCTGCATACACATGAACTTACTACAGGTTTACTAGTGATGACATAATAAATCAAATCAAATATGTTTATTTTCCTAATCAAAGGACCATAAAAGGCATATTAATTACAAAGTATTATGCATCTTAAACATAATCAATCATTTACAATCATAACCACATGTGTGAGAGGAGAACTACCTATTTGATAAAGCATTCAATGGTATTCAAATTATAAAATTATTTTTCTTTTTCAGTTTCAAATCTAGCCAACAGATTTCCACAGTCCATAGGGGATAATGACAAAAAACGTTATGACATTCTTTGAAAGCTTGCTAACGCAATTTTAATTCTGCCAAATAACAATTCTGACTGTGAGAGAGCATTTTCAATTATAAAGAAGATTTACACTGAATTCAGATCAGAACTCAACAATGATATATTGTGTGCATTGTTATTATGTAAATTTAACCAAACTGGCAGTTCTTTTGAATATGTGTCTAGTTGTGTTGTTTTGAAAGCAGTAAAACAGGCCACTGTTTAATACAATAAAAGTTTACAGTAGAATATTGTTTTTTATATTAACAAATTTGTATAATGTTCATATTAAAAAGTCCCCATCTACATCACGCGTTTTGACACGTTTTTTGACATGTCATGTCATGTCATGACATGACTTGTCATTGTCAGAGGTTGGCAACTATGTTACCAGTGGAAGTATATATTTCAATATTTTCAAATGCATTTGCTTTCCCCTATTTTCATATGCTTTTTTCAGACATTTGTATAACATCTTATCTTTACAAATTGTAATTCCATTTAAATCAATGTAATAATAAATAATATACTAAATGGCATAAGCTCAAAAAATACAAAGTCCAGTCTATACAGCTTGTTCTAACTGACTTGTATAATGACTTTAGAGTGACTTACACTGTCTACAGATAAAATTTTGGCCCAAATAAACACCAACAAAGGTCTAAGTTCTCTGGCAGAGCTCTGTAATAGTTTTAATACATAAGGAAATATTCCAACTGACAATGCCTGCAAGTATAAATAAGTAACGTTATGCATTTTAATCTCCTCTAAAACACTTTATATACACGTGTCAATAAGATGTCCTGTGAACCCTTACTCACTTATAATAAGATGTCCTGTGAACCCTTACTCACTTATAATAAGATGTCCTGTGAACCCTTACTCACTTATAATAAGATGTCCTGTGAACCCTTACTCACTTATAATAAGATGTCCTGTGAACCCTTACTCACTTATAATATCCTCACTAAATATTGTTGATTCTATTTTGCAGTTTAAGATACAAGTATACCACAAACAGGAAGCAGAACATTGGAGGAAATGAAAACATGTACAAAATATGGCATTATCATGTGATGTTTTAATTTAATATGCATCCATCCCCACTATAAATATTGAATTCAACTTCTACTCTCAGGATTCTCATATAAACTTCATGAACATAATGCAATTAATGACACAGTACTGTTGACCATGTTATTTTATGTCCTTTATTCATAGCTTCGAAAGCTTACATAACATTATCAAATTTATTTGTTCAGTGTATGTTCACTGGTGTTAATATGTCCTTTGATTGAGTTAAGCCATTTCAGTTGATATTTTATAGTGTGACTTTCTATGTTGTGATGTTACACTATTGTTTCAGAAAAAGGGTGAAGGTTTGGTACCATTAAAATGTTTAAACCCGCTGCAATTGTTTGCACCTGTCCTAAGTCAGGAATCTGATGTTCAGTAGTTGTCGTTTGTTGATGTGATTCATAAGTGTTTCTCGTTTCTCGTTTTTTATATAGATTAGACCGTTGGTTTTCCCGTTTGAATGGTTTTACACTAGTAATTTTTGGGGCCCTTTATAGCTTGCTGTTCGGTGTGAGCCAAGGCTCCGTGTTGAAGACCATACTTTGACCTATAATGGTTTACTTTTATAAATTTTGACTTGGATGGAGAGTTTTCTCATTGGCACTCATACCACATCTTCTTATATCTATCAATGATTAAAACAAAAATCAGTAAAAGCTGAGATAAGAAGACTGAGATCCCAGACTTATAATTTTGTAGGCCAGATGGGCCTTTTGTCTACAAAACACACATCAGTAAAGCTTGAATAAAAAAAGTTAAAAGGCCAAATACAGTAGAAGTTGAAGTGTACTGTGGATTCATTAATTTTCGTTGGATACTAATTTTTGTGGATTTTGTGGGTACAGGAGAACCAGGAATTTAAATGTTCAACGAATTACAAATTTTCTAAAGGAATGAATGCAGACTTTGCCAAAACCACGAAATTAAATATCCACGAATATGCAAGTTTTCCTAAAACCCCGAAAATTGGTACCCACGAAAATAAATGAATCCACAGTATTTTACAGATCTCTGAGGATATGATAGAAATAAGAACAAGAATAAATACCTACCAAGCTAACAGCCCAGGAGCCTAGATCTAGGAACCTGCCCAGTAATTCTAATGCTCTTAGTCTGTGGACTTGACTTAATAATACCTGAAAAGAAAACACATCATTAAAATTTGATATTCATAAAAATATGTTTATAGATGAGATCTGCTTAAGAGGCTATCCATAATTTTCTACAATCAACCTTCCCAAATCTTGAAAGATCTTTTTTTTTTTAAAATAAGACTAAGATAAATATAAAAGTATACAATTTGATAAAAAAAATATCATCAAGTTAAACATCTGCAATTTAGTGAACATAAAAACTTTAACAATATTAAGAAATCTTATAAAATAAAAATTATATCTAGGAGCATTAGCTATAGGAATAGACAAATTGATTAGGAACTCATTATAAACTGTATACTCCATTTTGGACATGAGGATTTCATACAGTGTCTTAAATAATTTAATACATGTATTAGATGTAAGTTTCTCATACATGTATCACAGTGTCTTAAATAATATAATACATGTATTAGATGTAAGTTTCTCATACATGTATCACAGTGTCTTAAATAATATAATACATGTATTAGATGCAAGTTTCTCATACATGTATCACAGTGTCTTAAATAATATAATACATGTATTAGATGTAAGTTTCTCATACATGTATCACAGTGTCTTAAATAATATAATACATGTAATAGATGTAAGTTTCTCATACATGTATCTGTAACCAGAAGATATGAGACAATTACATCTAATTTACATAGAAAGAACAAGTGAAACTGTGAGCTACTGCTCACTGATGATACCCCCGCCCAAATACTTGACGGTAAACAGGAAGTTGTTGAGTGATGAATCTTAATCGCATCACACAGCATAACTGACTTGTTATATAAACCCTGAAACCAAATTTCAGAAATCCTTGTACTGTAGTTCCCGAGAAAGATACAACGAAAAATATTCATGGGACAGACGGACAGACTGACGAACAGATAGACAGAGGTAAAACAGTTTACCCCCACTTTTTCAAAGCGGGGGTATAATAAATATTTTATCTTTTCTCCTGTTCTAAAAAGAGCATTTAGTTTTGGTAAAACAGGAAAAGTGTCGTTATCTCAAATTTACCAGATGCAGTAACCACTTTTAGATGTTTTGTAATCTTAATTGAGTCTATTTTTCTGTCATCAAATTGATATTTCTTATCACAGCTTTTGTATAGCAATATGAATTGCTGTACTATCTATCTTTTTCTGGTTTAATTGCCAAAATCTGAACTTTTTGCTGATAAATGATAACTCTTCTATGTAAATAGGCTAAGAAAAGATGATCATATGTATTTAAGATTCTGTAAAAGTTTTTGCAAAATTCTGTGAAATGGTTCAGGTACATTATTATAGAGGACACAAAAAGGGGACAAAAGAATGAACAGACAGACAAATGGATGGACATTCCCATTACTAGAGGATCAAATGTGAAAGTATAACAACCTAAAGTGATTCAGACCCAAGTGGTTTAAGATAACATGTCTGATGATGATGATGATGATGATAATGGATGACTGCTTGATGTCCAGCTGCAAATTTATATGCATTTTAAGGACGAGAACATGATAATGTAATATGAATATTAACCCTGTTTTGTACTAGACCAACACGCTGACATGGCTGAGTGGGATTTTTAACGTGCTAGTTCACAAGGTAAGTCAACAGAAAGGCATGTCACTTTACCAAGACACATTATTCCGACTCCAAGCTGATCAGTCTTTGCTCTTACTTCTTAATGCTGTGTTCTTAGCGGAGAAGCAGCAAATACTAATTCTAAAGTCTTTGGTTTCTAGGCAGCATATATACAGAATAGGAAAATGTCACGTTGTATAGAAGAATTCCAAATTCATGCATTTTGTCATTCATTTACTATGTCACAATGCTTATGTTTTTACGTCACATTAAAATGACATCATTTACCATGATTGACCTCGGGTCAACCAAAGTAATTCATTCATAAAAACAACTTGAGATTGGTCTATATATATTTAGGATACAAAGTAACTTGCCATCCATATGATTTAAATATTACTTATTACTACCTGTAAAACAATAGGGAGTTGTTCTGGAGGACTTCTGTGTTCAGAACCATATGATAACCACACTTGGAATGCAGTCAGCTGATCTGTGAAGAATGGACTATGTTGAAATGTTGCATTTTCATCTTCTAATAAGGCTGGTAATTGTCTGAGACAGAGATCTAATGCCAGGTCCCAAGCTTGCCTGAAATAAAACATGTACATGTAGCTATGATCTAATTGTCTAAGACAGAGGTCTAATGCCAGGTCCCAAGTTTGCCTGAAATAAAACATGTACATGTAGCTATGATCTAATTGTCGGAGACAGAGGTCTAACACCAGGTCCCAAAGCTTGCCTGAAATATTACTTGTTCATGTGGCTATGATCTAATTATCTGAGACAGAGGTCTAACATCAGGTCCCAAGCTTGCCTGAAATAAAACATGTACATGTGGCTATGATCTAATTGTCTGAGGCAGAGATCTAACGCCAGGTCCCAAGCTTGCCTGAAATAAAACATGTACATGTAACTATGATCTTATTGTCGGAGACAGAGGTCTAACACCAGGTCCCAAAGCTTGACTGAAATAATGCTTGGACATGTAGCTATGATCTAATTGACTGACACAGTGGTATCAAACCAGGTCCCAAGCTTGCCTGGAGATTACTTTGGACTTGAAGTTGGTGTACATGGGTGTAGATTGGTATAACCTATTGGTAAACCTACCACATGGGGTGCTGGTATGTTGGAGGTAACTTTGGACTAGAGGTTGGTGTACAGTTGTATGATCGCATAATTCTTTCTGCCAGCAGAAAGTTACGAAACAAACTTGCCACAAGTAAATCCTGACGAAACAGCTTCTGAAACAATTCTGAAATATCAATTACATCAGATATTAAATGAAAGATGTTTGTTCCTGGCATATTTTTTTCATTTTATTAATTTTTTTTTAGCCATTTTTGTTGAAATTAGCACCAATTATCAAAGTGTAAAAAGTGTATTGTTTGGAAAATGTAAATTGCTACTGTATCATTTGAAAACAGTGTTTGCCTTGTACTTGGTATTACATGAAGCTTTTTAAATCTTGATGTTATTTCCACATGAAAATTGTTGGAGCTTTTTTAATTATCATACATACCATCTTCACAATTACACCCTTGTCCTATGGCCTCTGGTAGATAGTTGTCTCATTGGCAATCATACCACATCTCCTTATTGTTATAGAGATTCAATTGTGATTCATTTTAGAAAATAATATAAATGCAATGTTTTAAAATTATCGTTTTGATGATAATGAATAAAAAATAGTAAAATTGTTGAAGAAAAACTATGATGTAAATTTTATTTCACTTTTTCTAAACTATCTTTATGGATGATTTTATAAATTATGTATCATTTTCAAATTTAAATACAATAAAAAAAATTCTTTGTTTTTCAGATTTAGAAATAAAAGCAACCTCTGGGTAGAATATTCCATGCTATTGTATCAGTTATGGCAGTAAATATCCAATTCAGTTCTCCCAACATTGTTCTCCTATCATTCAATTGTCCTGGTACTCTAAAATAAAATGTTTCCGGTTATTTTTGTTGTTTCATTTATATGGGTTCTATATATTTGTACAATTTTATTGAGTATTACAAGTTTAGAAAATAGTTTTCTTCTCTGTCAAAGTGCCCAAAAACATCTATCTTTCAGAGTTTCCCAATGGCCTTTTAGCATCATGGTTATGTGATGCTATATTGCTAGGATGTGACACTATTAAAAATGATTTTCTTATAGATTGTGTTATGGATATGATGCTATAATTTCTAGAAACAAGAAGGTATTAAATAATTCTCTTTTTACCAGGATGCTATTTGAAAGTTATGTGGAGAACACGGTCTTTGTAACACATAATATATATTTGCTCGCACAGCTTGTTATAGATTTATAGATATTAACAGGAAATTTAAACATCAAAAAGTAATATGATGAGTAATTATGTTATATATATAAACAAACTAAAACTTACTTGTCAACTGATTCCTCTGTTAGACCTGGAACCAGTTTACTGGTATTCTGTAAGACATACCTACAACAGACAGCAAAAATAGTACTCAGATTTGAAACCAGTCTTCCTAAGATCCTGCTTGAAAACATAACAGTATATAAATAACACATAGCTGAGAGGGTGATAGAGCAGATTGTTACCCCCGAGAAAACATTGTCAACTGAGGCGAAGCCAAGGTTGACAATGTCTTTTCGAGGGGTTACAATCTGCTCTATCACCCTCTCAGATATGTGTTATTTAATTTATTATACTGAATGTTCTGTTATTACTGTCTATTACATTTCAAATTCAAAGTAATAAACTATGAAGTCTTGTACATAACAACCATCCGTATTTAATAAAGCGCACACTTGATCAAGCGTCTCCGTGAATGGTAATAGAGTATTTACCATAGGATAAATTTAATTGTCGCCCTCATATCAACCAAACAAAATCTGGCATTTTGACATGAAGTATAACAAATAAATAATTTAGATAAAGAAGCATGAATTTTTTCATAAGTGCATGAGCATTCATAATTGAGAATCTTTTATCAGGACCGAAATTCAAAGATTAGTAGATATGCTTCCTGTACATATTGTAGTAGAATATTTTTAACAAAATACAAGTTTTAACTATAACTATTGAAATATTTAACCTGTCACATTTATCATATAAATAAAATCATTGCATTAATTCATCATTAATAATATCTCACAAAAATCATTCTTCAATGTTTTCAAATATAAAGGCACATCAACTTCACATCAACTTTTCAAGCATAATACTTTAAGTAAAGCCTTGTTTTGGTTTTGATGTTCTCCATTGTTTTATAAATTTGTTTTTGAAATTTTTCTGACTATACCAGATGAGCTATATGTAATGTACACTGAAGCTAGTACCCTACACCTGTTTTACTATTCACACCTTACCATTTTAGTGCTATTTTGATTGGCGTAGTAAGACAGGAAGTAAACAGGTCAGCAGGAAGTTCAGGATTCATAGGCAGTAATTCTTTGGCACCACATGCTGCTAACTGTATACAGTTCTTCACTGATGAGATAGGAGATCCACTTCCAGAATATCGGCTGTTTCCATTCAGAGCAGCAGACTATACAGAAATATGTTAAATGTGTTATTACAATTGATTTGAAACAAGAAACTGACTAGCCTAATTTTTACAGTTTCTAATTTTGTGTTGTTACACCACTGTCCCAGGTTACAGGGAGGGCACTCACAAAATATGTTTAAACCCACCTTATTCTATATGTGCCTTTCCCTAGTGATGACCCTGTGTTTCAGTTGTTGTCATGGTTAATGCCAGTCTTATTTGTTTTATCACAAATCAATCAATTGGTTTCTCATATGAACTGTATCACATTATGTCGTGTCAAGGCCTTTTATAGCTTACTATACAGTACAAGTTTTGCTCATTGTTGAAGGCTGAATGTTGACCTATAGTTGCTTACATCAAGGGCCTTTAGTCTCTGATGGATAGTTGTCCCATTAATAATTCAACCACATAACTCATTTTTATATAGTCAAACCTGTCTTGACCGGTACACCAACATGTATATTTAGACAAGAGTGCACACGCTGAAATGTCTCGCCTTCTTTACTAATCATTGATATTATGTTGATAGTCCTAAATATAAAGCTTTACTACAACTATCACATACACTTAACATGATCCAAGAAAATGAGGTCAAGGTCATATAAACCAAACAAGAAATACATGTACACCTTACAATCATTCAATACACTAAATATAGTTGACCTATTGTTTATAGTTTCTAAGATACAGACTTAACCAAGAAAACTAAACATTGACCAATGAACCAAGAAAATGAGGTCAAGGTCAGATGAACAATGACAGGCAGACATGTACTACAGCTTGCAATCCTTCCATACAACAAATATAGTTGACCTATGCTTATAGTATTAGAAAAACAGACCAAAACACAAAAACTTAACACTGAGCAATGAACCGTGAAAATGAGGTCAAGGTCAAATAAAACCTGCAAGACTGACAGGTACATCATAAAATATTTCCATACACCAAATATAGATGACCTATTGCATAAAGTATTAGAAAAAAAGACCAAAACTCAAAAACTTAACTTTGACCACTGAACCATGAAAATGAGGTCAAGGTCAGAAAACACCTGCCCGCTAGACATGTACATCTTACAATCATTCCATACACCAAATACAGTAGACCTATGGCATACAGTATAAGAAAAACAGACCAAAACACAAAAACTTAACTATAACCACTGAACCATGAAAATGAGGTCAAGGTCAGATGACATCTGCCAGTTGGACATGTACACCTTACAGTCCTTCCATACACCGAATATACTAGACCTATTGCTTATAGTATCTGAGATATGGACTTGACCACCAAAACTTAACCTTGTTCATTGATCCATGAAATGAGGTCGAGGTCAAGTGAAAACTGTCTGACGGGCATGAGGACCTTGCAAGGTACGCACATACCAAATATAGTTATCCTATTACTTATAATAAGAGAGAATCTAACATTACAAAAAATCTGAACTTTTTTTTCAAGTAGTCACTGAACCATGAAAATGAGGTCAAGGACATTGGACATGTGACTGACGGAAACTTCGTAACATGAGGCATCCATATACAAAGTATGAAGCATCCAGACCTTCCACCTTCTAAAATATAAAGCTTTTAAGAAGTTAGCTAACGCCGCCGCCGCCGGATCACTATCCCTATGTCGAGCTTTCTGCGACAAAAGTCGCAGGCTCGACAAAAACTACTGCATATAAAGGGCACCTTAGAAATATTTAATAAATTCAAAAAATTTGTGTCTGAAGCACTTATTTTGATTTACCTTCATCAGGAACACTTAAACATTAAAACTTAAAAGTCATGGATGTATAAGATCCCAAACAAGACAAGTTGATTGGACTATACCTCCCCCCCTTTCCTAGAGTGAGGATATAATATATATTATTATTAAATACAGTAAAAGACCCTAAAGTTACAACATATCTAATGCATCACTTGCTGTTAATAAGAAATCAAACTTTTTACCATGAAAAAATATTGACCAAGACTCTTAAAATATGTTCAAATTTCCATTGCAAAATGTAATATCTGAGTCCAAATCAATTCCACAAGTGGAACTCCGAAACTACCCTATGGAATAGATTATTAAAAGATATTGGACAAAAACAACACTTTCATAATATATTCTAGACTAAAATTTTCAAATAAAAAATGTTAATAATGCTCAATATGCTTTTATAAATAAAGGCAACAGTAGTATACCGCTGTTCAAAGGTCATAAATGGATTGAGATAAACCATTTCTATTTCATACTAACCTCCATCTCATTTTCTCGCTGTACAGAAAACTGATGGAATGACTCTACGATAATGCCAGCTTTAGAACAGTCGTATACATATATGGATGGACTTCCCATCCAAGTCTGTAAGTCATATATAGATAATGGAATATACTGGGTGTAACTCTGAAAAGAAAACAAGTACATTGATTCTGGACATATCTAAAAATTACATTGGCAAATATTTATATGTACATGTACTATAGATAATGCATTATACAGTGTATCCAAATTTTTCTGAAAGTTTCATTAAAATGAAGTCACTTGTTAGAGGTGACAGTTTTGGGTATTTAAAGCCTTGGCTCATATCTTTTTTGACAAAAAATTATGTGTAAATTGGCCACTTTAGGTCTAATATGTCAATTTGCAAATGTGTATGATGTCATAGCACATCACAAGCATGACAAGTGACTTTTCTGCACTAAAATGTCCAGATGATATTCATTTGTAAATAAAATTGACAAAATTTTGAATGATTCAAATATTAGCACTTATCGTCATGATTTTGTCACCTTTTTATTTGATAACTTTCTAATCTTTGGGTGATTAGTTAGAGCTTGGTATATTGAATAGACACTTGTCTATAGTTGAAGACCATATGTTGACATCTAGATTTCTTTTTTTTTTTGTATCACTGGGTTGCTATCGGAAATATTCACTACTACTCCTTTTATTCATAAATATCAATAAATCATTGTAACTTAATTCTTCAAAAAGACTTCAAAAAACTTAAATTTAAACACTAAATTTTCAGCTACATATAGATTGGATGCTTGGAATAATTCAAGAACCTTAACACTAATCACAAAAGGAAAAACTTCAAATTTAAAATCTGAAGTAATGAAAGGACCATACATGTTCATACATTGTTTTATTTTATAAATCCAAAGACAGCAATCTATCTCCTAAATTGTCCCCTAAGTTGTGCTTTTTAAGCTATTACCTTATTAAATACCCAGATTTCTCCATTTACTGTTGGCTTTGGCACACCATGTCCATTATAATGAAACAAAACTCTTTCTTCCTATAAATAGAAATACTATTAGTATGTGTACTATAAATATAAATTCTCTAATAATACCCTATTAAAATAAACACTTTTAATCAATATCAAGCTTGGCCTTCTTTTTGTCATCTTCGCTAGCCAAGGGTTACGATCCACTTCCCTCCTCTCCACCCTTGGCGGATTCAGAAAGAATTTCGGAGACACAAGGTAATGATTTTCATTGGTTGCAGTCTAAACTCGCTGCATCCAATCAAAAAGTGCCTATAACATGATCACATGTAAATGTAGAAAGTGTATGTAAACAATTGCCACGTGCTTATTATGCGACAAATCTTTACATCCCTAAACATACAACTATATTTAGTGACAATTTGAATGTTTTTAATCAATTAATAGAAGTTCCTGTGTATGTTTCTTGCACAAATGCATGAATGGCAATGTATATTTTCGTTTCCTGCTTTACCAAGTGTGTAGAATCTAAATGCTACCGTGTTTATACCTCCAAATTGAAGAGTTCAAGTGCTACCATTGGTCAAGAATAATGTATTCAGAATAGGCGTGACTTTAATCTACCGATAGATGGCGCAACATTGTTATCACAATTGTTGGCTTAATCTGCCAAGGGTGGAGAGGAGGAAAGTGGATCGTAACCCTTGGCTAGCGAAGATGTCTTTTTGTCATCAGTATCAACATACTAATATTTTGTAAAGCATTGGTTGAGCAATTCTCAATAAAATGCTCCGCTGGGCGCAGCTTGATATGACCGCAGAGGTCGAACCCTGAACAGTTGGGGCAAGTATGGACACAACATTCAAGTTTGATACAGCTCTGAATTTGGATTGTGATTAAATATTTGACACAGCATAGGTTTCTGACACAGAATGAATGTGGTCTAAGAACTTAAATTTTTTTAATTTACCTATTATGGTCCAATATCCAAAATCTAAATACATGGTTAGATTCAGCATATCAAAGAATCCAAAGAATTCAATTTTTGATGAAATCAAACAAAGTTTAATTTTGGACCCTTTTGACCTCAATGTGGACCAATTTGATAACAGAGCCCAAAAATCAAAATACATGGTTAGATTCAGCATATCAAAGAACCCCATATATTCAATTTTTGTTGAAATCAAACAAAAGTTTAATTTTGGACACCAACTTAGACTAACTTGAAAACTGGGCCCATAATCAAAAATCTAAACACATGTTTAGATTCAGCATATCAAAGAACCCAAAGAATTCAATTTTGTTAAAATCAAACAAAGTTTAATTTTGGACCCTTTGGACCTTAATGTAGACCAATTTAAATAAACTGCTTCGCTGAGCGCAGCTAGATACGCCCGCAGAGGTCCGACCCTGAACAGTTGGGGCAGAAATGGACACAATATTCAAGCTTGATTCAGGTCTGAATTTGGATTGTAATTAAATATTTGACATATTATAGGTTTCTGAATAAATGTATTCAAAGAACTTAAATTGGTTATATGAATTGAATTTATATTCAATTAAAAATTTCTTGCTGTTGTGCAACACTTAGTAAATCTGTTGTCAAGACTATAAACAAATAAAGTTCAATTAATTCTCAATGCCATATTAGAAATTTATGAAAATAAAAAGGGAGCTTACATCAATAGATATAAACAATTCACCAAAGTTTCATAAGAATTGGTGACAGCATTTTTGAGTTATTGTCTGAAAACTGGAAAATCACCCTTTTTTTAATGAATAAAACCCCATAACTCAGAAATGTTAAATGTAAAATTTATAAAATTCTAAAGAGAGTTTACATTAATACATACAAACAATTCACCAAAGTTTCATAAGAATTGCTGAAAGCATTTTTGAGTTCTTGTCCGAAAACTGAAAAATCCCCCCTTTTTTTATGGATAAAACACTGTAACTCGGAAACGTAAAATCTAAAATTTATAAAAATCAAAAGAGAGCTCATGTTAATAGATATAAACAAATCACCACAATTTCTTGCAAGTTGGTGAAAGCATTCTTGACTTATTGTCCGAAAACTGGAAAATCCCCCCTTTTTTTAATGAATAAAACCCCATAACTCGGAAACGTAAAATCTAAATTTTATAAAAAATGAAAGGGAGCTCACGTCAATAGATATAAACAATTCACCAAAGTTTTATGCAAATTGGTTAAAGCATTCTTGAGTTAATGTCCGACATGTTGACGACGGACAGACGGACGGACAGACGGACAGACGGACGGACGGACAGACGGACAACGGTATACCATAATACGTCCCGTAAACGGACGTATAAAAAGGGGACCCAAAATTAAAAATCTAAATACACGGTTAGATTTGGCATATCAAAGAACCCCAATAATTCAATTTTTGATGAAATAAAACAAAGTTTAATTTTTGACCGTTTTGACCTCAATATGAACCAATTTGATAGCGGGGCCCACAAATAAAAAATCTAAATACATGGTTAGATTCAGCATATCAAAGAACCCCATATATTCAATTTTTGTTGAAATCAAACAAAGTTTAATTTTGGACCCCCATTTGGACCAACTTGAAAACTGGGCCCAAAATCAAAAATCTAAATACATGTTTAGATTCAGCATATCAAAGAACCCCATATATTCAATTTTTGTTAAAATCAAACTAAGTTTAATTTTGGACCCTTTGGACCTTAATGTAGACCAATTTGAAAATTGGACCCAAAATTAAAAATCTAAATACACGGTCAGATTTGGCATAACAAATAAATAAATGTGGTCAAAGATTTAACAAATCTAATGCCCCATACTGTGCAATTAAAGATTACTTCTTGAAATTTTCAATATTTGAAATTTGAAAAAAAAAAATATTTGAAGAATAATTCTTTTTAATTTCTGAAATCTGAAATGAGAAAAAATTGACCCCCCACAATTTCTTTTTATGGATTTTTTTGTAAAAAAAAAAAAGATGCAACATTTGCAGATATTTTTACTGGTCTTCCTTTATAAATATGCATTTCTTTAAACATAATTTAAAAGCAGTGTAAGGGAAGTAATCAAAACGTTGTATGTGGATTACCTCCCTTACACTGTTTTAAGTTGTCTTAATTGTTCATTAACCATTACTTTATACATAATTTAAAAGCAGTGTAAAGGATGTAATTCGAATGATGTATTTGATTTATCTCCCTTACACTGCTTTAAATTATGTTTTGTACTAAAGTATTTGTCCATATAAAAATGCTTGTTTTTTCCCCTTTTCTGGCCACTAATTCCTAAAATTTTGAGGCAATTACCCCCAAAATCAATCCTAGCATTCCCTTTGTGATATGGAACCTTGTGGTACAATGTCAGAGATATCCATACACTAACACACAAGTTATGTCTGGAAGTTACAAAAATGCTTATTTTTGGCCCCTTTTTGGCCCCTAATTCCTTAACTGTTGGTACCATAACCCCCAAAATCAATCCCTACCTTCCTTTTGTGGTATTGAATCTTATGGTAAAATTTCATAGAGATCCATTCACTTAAACTAAAGTTAGAGTGCGAAAACCACTGTGTCTTCGGACGACGACGACGACGTCATACCAATATACGATCGCAAAATTTTTTTGCGGTCATATAAAAAATTGCAGGAAAACAGATGGAGCCAGCTGACCGTACTACCCTGTATTAATAAGTGAATTTTTCGACACAAAACCAGGTTAATAAAAGGATTTACTGTCTATATGTTTTATTGTTTACAACTACCCAAGTATCAATCAAATTTTGAGAACAAATACTTAAGCATAAATATTGTTTCAAGGATACTTTACTTTATGATTTATCAATGAAATAGTGCAGACCAGTAAAATGAATTGACATTGATTGAAACTGATTTTTATAGTTCGTTCTTATGTTGTACTGTTACACCACTGTCCCAGGTTAGGGGGAGGGTTGGGATCCCGCTAACATGCTTAACCCTGCCACATTCTGTATGTATGTGCCTGTCCCAAGTCAGGAGCCTGTAATTCAGTGGTTGTCGTTTGTTTATGTGTTACATATTTGTTTTTCGTTCATTTTTTGTACATAAATTAGGCCGTTAGTTTTCTCGTTTGAATTGTTTTACATTGTCATTTCAGGGCCTTTTATAGATGACTGTGCGGTATGGGCTTTGCTCATTGTTGAAGGTCGTACGGTGACCTATAGTTGTTAATTTCTGTGTCATTTGGTCTCTTGTGGAGAGTTGTCTCATTGGCAATCATACCACATCTTCTTTTTTTATACTTCTTAAAGACAGATTACTCAGGGTGAATCATCTACAATCATAAATACTGATTGGTGAAACTTGTGCTGAACATGCTTCTATCATGTCTATAGAACCTGCAGAAACCTTTTTTTTTTGATCTTACACATAAGCACATGATAAAAGTCATCAAAATTAAATATCTTAGTCCAGTGTTCTCACTAGAGCACTTTAGCATCATGGTAATGTGATGTTATATTGGTAGTTAAAAAACGTTTTTTTTTCTCAAAATTTTCAGTTTACCAGGATGCTAAATGAAATTTATGGGAAGAACAGTGTTCACTTATAAAGCTGCCGGGACCATTTTAATTCTGAGCTTACTTTAGCATTTCTTCTCAGCGATGAACACAACTTCTTGACTTCATCTACTGTTGGATCAAGACTTTGTTTATAACGAGCTCTTGGCTGCCATCTTTCATATTGCTTCTGTAAATTTAACCCAATAGCCTCCAGAGTTTTCTGTGGTCCTGCTGTTACTGGATCTGTTAAAACATATAAGTATCATTATAAGACTATTTAAAGGGCAGTTAAAGACTTTAATTGTTGATATCCTTGTCCAAGCCTCTTTTTCCCCTTGTTGAAAAAATGCAAATCAGTTCTTTTACCATGTTTATGGCAGCATGCTACATACATGTAAACAGTTTTGTCTCACTTCTACTTTTTTACAGTTCTAAAACTTGCCATAAGTCTTATACGGGTCAAAAGCAAATCACACAGGTTTTCATTCAAATACAGTATATTTTTTGGACCAAATATAAGGATGATTGTTCAACTGGTTCACATTGCTTTCTAATGCTAGGAAGATTTATTATGGTTTAAATTGCCACCTAAGAGTGCAATTCCATCTTTTGCAAATTTTGATATTACAACAATGTACAATGTACAATTATCTTTGTTTTGGGGAAACACATCCTCTAGGGACAAAAAAATTGTGTTTGTGGTTTGTTTGATGGGCTACAAATTGTTACGGGAAAGCGGATGAAATACATAAATCAATATTCTAACAACCATTACCTATCCAACATTCCAGTCTGGCACATGGTGAAGTTTTGACTATATCTGGTGGATCTACACCCACATTCAAACAAAGAACTAATGCAACACTGACAGTCTTCATCTGTAAAATAAGTAGGCAATTTTATTCATACATATAAATATATCAAAATTAGTCGCTCTGCTAAAATACATATATACTATTAAAATTATTTTTGGCTCTGGAGAGTCTGTTCATTATGTGACAAGGAGAGAACATTAAGGAAAGTGTAATTAACTTCCTTAAATTAGTCAATAATCTTTAGTCTTTTTTAAATTATAAATGTACTGCAGTTCAGAGTGAGTTCTTCAAATGCAAGCTTGACTGATGGAAGTAGGCATATAAAAAATTCACAGACATTTAACAAGTTTAATCAAACAGTTTCAAAGTAACCATGGTAACAGCTGGTCTAAAAATCTACCTACATGTATTGGCAGTTTTGTGATGATTACTTATAACAGACATTTGGTCAAACACCTGTTAATCTAAAAATAAATTTGATTGACATATCTGGCAGTCAGATTTTGAGGCCTCTGTAGTGTTAAAAGTACAGCATTAATCCTTCCTCATTCAGTAGAGATCAAGCAAACACAATTTTTGCCAAAAGAAACAGAGAGTTTATACTTAAATTGTATTTTATTTGTCTATCCACCATGTCCAATCAAGTCATTGTCTTACAGAAAGTTCCCTTTATGTTTTGCAAATAATCACATTCAATTTTTTTATAAATCAGCATGATCAGGTAAACAAAAAAATAAATACATATATATGTGTATGTGTTTGTTTCCCGCCTCCTTACATACCCTAATTTTCATTCCTAGCCAATTTACACTAGAATATCATTAGTGAATATCACGCCTTCAGAAGAAAAAAAATCCTGACCTACTGACCAAGGCTTCCAAAACGGTCATATTTGCCGGACAAATATTAAGAAGGTCCGGTAAGGGCTAGTTTTGGCCTAAAATACGAAGTACATCTGATGAAAGATTTTTGACATTTTTTAAACACTTAAGTGTCTACTTCAGTCGAATCAATTAGTTTATGTAAAAGATTTGAACTGATTTGATCTTTAAAGACACTCAAATTCAAGCTTAAATATGAAAAATCCCATAAAACGTCACTTTTCAGATGGTTTTTGTCTAAAATGTAAGTGGCCGCATCCGTCTTCTGTCTCAACCTCTATATATGTTATATATTATCATCAAATACAATATATATTTAAATATTAAGACTGAACACAAATGCGGCCTATTCAATTTTAGACAAAACCATCTTAAAAATAGCACAAATGCTAAAATTGTGAAGAATTCTGTAATTTTGCATGAATTTATGATGCTAGTACCTGACGCATGTGCATAGTAAAAAACAACCCATATTTATGGAACATAAGTATTCTACTTTCCAATTAATAGCTTTAAGTTTGCATTTCAACAAATTTGTAAAAATGCTATATTTTGGGGCCAAAAAGGGGTCTTACCGAGCCTAGTTCTTTATTGGACATTGTCCGACTGTGCCAAGCATGAAACAGACATCCTACGTAGATTGCCATTTCAACGTTCATGTAATTCCAAATAAACTGCTTCGCTGAGCGTAGCTGGATACGCCCGCAGAGGTCCAACCCTGAACAGTTGGGGCAAAAATGGACACAATTTTCAAGCTTGTTACAGGTCTGAATTTGGATTGTAATCAAATATTTGATATATTATAGGTTTCTGAATAAATGTAGTCAAAGAACTTGAAATTGGTTATATGAAAGATTTCTTGCTGTTGTGCAATACACTGTGCTGTTGCGCAATACTTAGTAAATCTGTTGTCAGACTATAAACAAATAAAATCTTATAACTCGGAAACGTAAAATCGAAAATTTATAAAAATCAAAAGGGAGCTTACAAAAATAGATATAAACAATTTACCAAAGTTTCATATAAAATGCTGAAGGCATTTTTGCGTTATTGTCTGAAAACTGGAAAATCCCCCTTTTTGTAATGAATAAAACCCCATAAATTGGAAACGTAAAATCAAAAATTTATAAAAATCAAAAGGGAGCTTACAAAAATAGATATAAACAATTTACCAAAGTTTCATATAAAATGCTGAAAGCATTTTTGAGTTATTGTCTGAAAACTGGAAAATCCCCCCTTTTGTAATGAATAAAACCCCATAAATTGAAAACGTATAGTCTGAAATTTATAAAAATCAAAAGGGAGCTCATGTCAATAGAAACAAACAATTCACCAAAGTTTCTTGCAAATTGGTGAAACTGTTTTTGAGTTATTGTTTGAAAACTGGAAAATTCCCCCTTTTCAATGAATAAAACCCCAAAACTCGGAAATGTTTCATACATATTGGTTAAAGCGTTTTTGAATTAATGTCCGACATATTGACGACGGACGGACGGACAGACGGCAACGGACAGAAGGTCAACGGTATACCATAATACATCCCGTAAACGGGCATATAAAAATTAACCATTTTGACTTGACCTTGTGCATTAAACAGCCACACTTTTCCGGTCATTAAAGTGACAGTACTCTATAAACAAGCCCTACTATAATTGAACATTATACAAATTTGTTAATATAAAAAAAAAACAATATTCTACTGTAAACTTTTATTGCATTCAACAGTGGCCTATTTTTGCTGCTTTCAAAACAACACTACTAGGCAAATATTCAAAATAACTTCCAGTTTGGTTACATTTACATGATAATAAGGCACACAATATATCATTGAGTTCTGATCTGAATTCAGTGTACATTTCTTTATAATTGAAAATGCTCTCTCACAGTCAGAATTGTTATTTGGCAAACTAAAATAGCTTTAACGTTTAAATAACAAGCTCTGAAAGAATGTCATGACGTTTTGTTTTTTTTGCCATTAAAAATGTCATCAACGTCTGCCATTGATCCCCACATATTATATACAGTCAGGGATATAACTCTATAGGGTTATTACAGAAAAATAACATACATTTGTTATTGTGGACTAAAAAATCAAAGAACTGTGATAACTTATGTATGTTATATGTTTCAAAGGGACAATATACATAATTAGTTTAGTTAAAATGTATAAAAGTTCTATTGGTACTACTTTTGTCTATATGTATACTTAACTATTGAAAGATATAACAGTTCATAGTTTGCCAATTTTGCATAGTACACCTATATGTTATTACAGAAAAAGTATGCCTGTAATAACTAAAGGGTGTTATCACAGCTTCTCTATATCACTTCAAAGCATTTGCTCAGACATACATCATGCTTAATTACAATGTATTTTAATTTATTGTAAGAAATAATGACCAGAGCATGTAATGAGGTTCTGCGCAAGTTTCTCAGTAATTCCCAAGTGTCTTATATAATAAGTTAAATTCCTTTAATAACTGAGCCTTGTTATCACAGCTAAGTTTATCCCTTAATAGCCTTGTCTCATTGATTTACCATGGTTAATCAAAAATGTATTAATTTAATTAAAAAATTAGTTATCAAGGCTATGCATTTAGTTTCTGCGCAAAGTCTCAAGAGATCCCTAGAGGCCACTATAAATGAAATAATTTTACAAATAACAAACATATGTTATTACAGATTAAGAAAATTTAAGGAATAAAGAGTAGACAACTCATGAAAGTATCTGTAATAACACACACAAGTTATTTTCTGTAATAACCCTATAGAGTTATATCTCTGACTGATATATGTTGCTATTGTCTGGTCAAAACTGGGTTGTTCATCAGAAGACAGCTGGTACTCTGAGAACTGATCCAACAGTTCTGTGATATTCCCTTCCCATATGGCCTGTGGAAATCTGTTGGCTAGATTTGAAACTGAAAAAGAAAAATATTTTATAATTTGAATACCATTGAATGCTTTATCAAATTACTTCCTCTCACACATGTTGTTATGATTGCAAATGATTAATAATGTGGATGATCCTATATAAATATGAGAGTAACATAGGGTGCACAGTGCATTGTTCGGCCCTCGATCACTTTCTTTTGATTCATTTTAACATGGACTCCAAACTTTTTTGGTACGTACACACGTATTGTTTTCGCTTAGCACTCGGCTCTTTAGACGACAGTATAGGTCCAGAAATTGACCTCTTTCTGCTGGATTTCCCCAAAGTGAATCGAATTTGAGAGAAAGAAGTCACAAAATCTTAAAACCTACTTACAAACTTACCTGAAGTGAAGGGCTTTTGTTGTTCGTCCATATCGTAAATAAACAATGGCGACTCAACAAATACTTCGAAATTCTCGGTATTTATCGTCTATTAATGAAAACACCCGTGAATCGCGATCTCACTAACGACCAAAAAATCAAAACAACGAAAAAGCGTGTAATGGCGTGTAAAGTGACGAAAAGCGTGTACACGCCATGTGACAAAATTCTCGCGTGTAAACCGTCGAAAAAGCGTGTATTACACACGAATATCATGCGAGTTGGCAACTATGACCGTAGGTGTTGACACAAATATCATTGAACATTACATTCATAATTTATCAGGTCCTAACCCAACCTAGTTTTCCGGCAATTAGTGTCAAATGTAACAATTAATTTTTTATTATTGTTACATTTCAACGTAATCCTAGCCAGCGGCTTCATAAAAAGGAACTCGAAAGTGGTCAATTATCATGATTATTGGCACAGGAGTGAGGACTAATAGTCTCTACATTTAATGAACATCAATGATCATGAATCCATTATTAATGCAAATATATTAACTGAACATTTGACAGAACAGTTGTAAAATATTGAATATGCACCCTTTCTTTCATTCTCCAAGTCTGGGTTACTTTCTTTGAACCTTCAATCTTTTCCCAGTGACGAAGTTCGTTAAAGGCAACCAGAAGATTCCAGTCTGACAGCTCATCATCATCGTCAATCAAAGGCGTCAGTTCAAAATCACTTGTCATTTTAAATATAGAAGCTAAATAGTAAGCTATTGGCAATTATCAGATACTGTCAATGCGATGGAAAAGAATAAATTTGACTGAGGAAGGTGTCATGCTTTCTTCATCGGCCATGTTTACTTTTTTTTTACATTCATAGCCTCTATATTAATTTAACGGCTTTATTCCATCGCTATTGATTATTGTTGTATTTGTCAAATATTTTAAATAAAAAAAAAATTGATATATTTCATTACGAAATTTGCAATTTTACCAATAAAAAGCTATTTTTAGATTGTTAAAGACTATTTGTTGTCGAAAATGAAAGTAAAAGTTGTAAAGGCGGGAAATATGAAAAGGAAAATAGGAAAGTGGTATAGATGCAGAATCATGGTTACTTCATTTTAAAGAGCTTAATACTGTAAACACTAGCAAGCTCAATTTGAATAATAAATACTGGAATGCTTTAAATCTATGTAAAATTCCAGAGGGTCATTCTTATCTTGATTGTAATATTACTGTTAGTGAAATAAGTAAAGCCTGTCAAAAGTTAAAGAATAACAAAGCTAGTAGTATGGACAGTATACTTAATGATATGTTGAAATATGGACAATTTATAATATTGCCTGGACTAGAAAAATTGTTTAATTTAGTCCTGGATTCAGGTTTTTTATCCAAGAAATTGGTCAAGCGGTTACATTTTTCCAATTTTTAAAAGTGGTGATCCCACTGAACCAAATAATTATAGAGGCATTACCATTACTAGTTGCCTGTCAAAACTTTTTAACTCTATTTTAAATTCCAGATTTGAAAAGTTTTTACAACTTAATTGTATCATATCAGATGAACAAATTGGATTTAGACCAGGTTGTAGAACATCAGATCATATTTTTAAATTAAAGACTATTCTGGATAAATATTTAAATAAATCAAAAATGGTATATGCCTGTTTTATTGACCTTAGAAAGGCATTTGATTCTGTCCTGCACCCTGCACTCTTATTCAAATTAATAAAAGCAGGGGTGGGTGGAAAGTTTTTATCCTTACTGAAATCCATGTATAGCAATATAGAGCTTAGAGTTAAATTAGATAATTCTTCACTCTCAGAGGTTTTTTCATCTAGTGTTGGCGTGTTCCAGGGGGACAATCTTAGTGCAAGTCTTTTTAATGTATTTATTAATGACATTACTACGTTATTTGATGCTTCATGCTGTCCTGTATCACTTGGATCACAGTTACTAAATAGTTTATTGTATGCAGATGATTTACTTCTTGTATCAGAATCAGCTGAAGGGTTACAGAATTGTATGAACAAGGTTCATAACTATTGTGAAAATTGGGGGCTTGAAATAAATTATGATAAATCTAAAGTGATGATATTTAATAAAAGTAGACGGATGATATCTAGAAAGTTTTTTAACGACAAGAGTATTGAGTCTGTTTATCAATATAAATATTTGGGTGTTCTATTTAGTTTGAATGGGAGTTTCAAACGTGCCCTCAATGACCTAAATTCTAGAGGTCAGAAGGCATTTTTTAAATTGACTAATATATTTAAAAATACTCCTTGTGACATTCAAAATTTTACATTTATATTTGACCATACTGTGAAACCAGTTGTACTGTATGCTTCTGAAATTCTGGGCATATTTGACACCAGAAAATGTAATAAATATAACATGTATAACAGTGAAAATATATTTGACCAGATTTTTAATACTGTACCAACTGAAAAGATAAATCACAATAAGTGCAGATATTTGCTGAAAGTAAATAGAAAAACATGTAAACTGGCATTGTATGGTGAGCTAGGCCGTTTTCCATTCTATATTGATATTATTATGTCAATGGTTAAGTTGTAACTAAAGATAATGATAGAGTAAGTATGACAAGGTTCAGAACCAGCAGTCATAAACTTCATATTGAAATTGGTAGATACACTATACCAAAAACTCCTATAGATAACAGGATCTGTAAGAACTGTAATATAAATTTGGTTGAAGATGAGTTACATTTTTATTAGACTGTCCAAAATTTTCTCATTTAAGGAAGGAGTTAGTCTACAACTGTTTAAATAAAAACATTACTAATACTACAAATATTAATTCTAATTTTATGTGGTTGTTAAGTAATGAAGACACTGATGTATGCAAAAGTATAGCTAAGTACCTAAACATGTGTTTTTTACTTAGAATAAAAGTGTGAAATTTTTGTTTGCTATTTATAATGGACTTATCTTTTTACACTAGAGTTACTCCCCCTTGAACACATAACACACATAATATTTTGATACTTGTGTAGTATTAATTTTAGTTAGATAGTTTAAATGTTATTCTTTGTTGTATCTATGCTATTAATGATTATGTTCATAATTGAGCTTTATTTAATAAAATATTTCGTATTTCGTATGATCAATAAAGGCAACAGTAGTATACCGCTGTTCGAAATTCATAAATCGATTAGTTACAAACTAAAACTGAGGGAAACACATCAAATATAAGTGGAGAACAAAGACACAACAGAAACACTAAAATGCAACACACATAGAAACGAACTATAAGATAACAATAGATATTTTCCTGACTTGGTACAGGACATTTTAAGAAAAAATGGTGGGTTGAACCTATTTTTGTGGCTAGCCAAACCTCCCCTCCCGCCTTAATGGCAATGTTAAATATTACACTAAAATGACAACATTACATGACAAGACTACAATACAAATAAATGGAAGAACATACAGGACAGAGAAACACACAAATAAACAATACAATAGAACATTACGACAAGCTAATAGTTATCAAAGGTGTCAGACCTAAAGATGAAGAGCATTGATGACCCAAAATTCCCAAAAGTTGTGCCAAATACGGCTAGGTTATCTGCCTGGGATAAGAAAATATTTAGTATTTAGAATAATTCATATTTTTGCAAACAGTAAATTTATAAAATATAAAAATGACCATATAATTGAAATACATGTTAACACCGAAGTGTTGACTAACTACAAATATGGGTAAACAAAATCAAAGTTTACCTGGGTGACTAAGGATTTACAGAGGCGGATCCAGCCATTTTTAAAGGGGGATTGCTACCCATGATAAAGGGGGGGGGTTCATCCATATGTCCCCATTTAAAAGCATTGATCGTCAAAATAATTTTAAAAGGGGGAGTTCCGAACCCCCTATATCCTCCCGCTGACCGAGTAAATTCGGATTCCCTCCGACCGGGTCCCGACCCAAAAATAAAAATCGTCATTATTTCAATAATTTATCACTTAGACTAACCATTCTTACTTTTTTTATAAACTCTGAATATGTTGCTTTCCATTGATCATTCACCGATAACTGTTCATTCTTTGGTATTGGAGGAAAAAAGGATAATATTTTAAGAACCCTATTCAAAATTTGATTCCCGCTGGCCGGATATACACCTCGTTTAAAAAAATGCTTTATTTTTTTTACTGCGCAAAATAACCGTGCCATTCAAGGCTAAACATTTAAATATGGACATATATGAATAACCGAAATAGAACCCATTGATTTATTTCAACAACCCACTCGATTTTTAAGGTAAAACAAGTTAGTGTCATATTTTGATATTTTAGGATTTTGATATTTCTTACCCATGGTCATATACAAATACACAAATTTGTCTATTTAGCTGTTATAACTGTATTTCTTCAAGTGTTTATGATAGATTATGTATTGTTTGTTAAGAATCAATTAGTTTCCCCTCAATAGATGAATACAAATTGCAGAAATGCAATATCAAAAATTTACAAAAATATACACTCCGGAAAATTCCGGACTGAATGAGAAATTAGAAAAAAAGGACCCATAAAAAGCTTCTTATTTTTGTAACCATGTGATATATATCGGAATAATGATGTTTTACATTAAGGATAATCAATATACTACCATAATATCAAAAACCCATCGATCAGTTGTTACAACCGACTCGATTTTTTTGGTAAAACAAGTTAGTGTCATATTTTGATATTTTAGGATTCTGATATTTCTTACCCATGGTCATATACAAATACAAAAATTTGTCTATTTAGCTGTTATAACTATATTTCGTCAAGTGTTCATGATAGATTGTGTATTGTTTGTTAAGAATCAATTAGTTTTCCCTCAATAAACGAATACAAATTGCAGAAATGCAATATCAAAAATTTACAAAAATATACACTCCGGAAAATTCCGGACTGAATGAGAAATTAGAAAAAAAGGACCCATAAAAAGCTTCTTATTTTTGTAACCATGTGATATATATCGGAATAATGATGTTTTACATTAAGGATAATCAATATACTACCATAAAATTAAAAACCCATCGAACAGTTGTTACAACCCATTAGATTTTAAAGCTTGAATATGTTTATACTATAATTTTAGAATATAACATATGATAATTTATTTCGAAGGGTCACTTATTTTATTGATTTTTTTTATTTCTAACAATCAAAACATATTTTCTTTACACGTTTGCAACAGTGTTGATGTATTTCTGTTCGAATTTATAACTATTTCCCACATTTATTCTAATTTAATCACTTAATTAAACACAAGGTCAAAATTTTTCAAAAAATATTACTCCGGAATATTCCGGACTGAATAAGAAATTAAAAAAACCGCACACATAAACAGTTTCTATTTTTTTCACCATATGAAATATATCGTATTAACGATTTTTTACAATAAGGATAATCAATATACTACCATAAAATCTAAAACAGATCTACCAGTTGTTACAACCCATTAGATTTTTAAGCTCGGATATGTTGGTACTATAATTTTAGATTATAACATATGAAATTTTTTTTGGAGGTTCACTTATTTAACTCATATTTTTTTATTTCTAACAGTCAAAACAAATTCTCTTTAAACTTTTACGATAGAATTGATGTATTTCTATCCGAATTTATAACTAATTCCCATATTTATTCTAATCTAATCATATAAAAACAAGGTCTAAATGTTTCGAAAAATATCACTCCGGAATATTCCGGACTAAATGAGAAATAAATAACGGACACATATAACGCTTCTTTTCTTATCACCATGTAATATATTTCGGAATATTGACGTTTAACAATAAACGTAATCAATATACTACAATAAATATACGTAGTAGGCGCGTCT